CAACGAAAATATGTTATAATTTAACTATTAACTATTGACGATGGTTTAAATTTAGAGATACAAAATCAAAATTCAAAAATTATATTATTTATTTCCAGAAACCACAAATGTGTTAAATTACCAATTATTTACGGCAACATAATATGTTATGAACAAATAAAAACGTAATATTTCAATTGAATATTAATATCAATATTCAAAAATGTTATTATGTAATTGCACATTTAACAATTTAATACCTTAATATTATTTAAGTACAATTTACCTACTACTTTTATTTTTTTATAATAATTATTGATAGAAATTTATCAAAACCAGAAAATGATTTAAATTCATTTTAATTATAATTATAGTCGCCGGTACCTAAACATGTCATAAATTGGTTTTAAATGTGATTGTCTCGTTAATAATAATATCTAATTAAAAACAAATTTTAGTGAATTATTAGGTAAGCTTAATAAAACGTATATTATGATATTTTTGTGGTTTAAATAGTTATTTATGTCATTAAAGTACATAGTTCATTTAATATCTTTCCTCTTTTAACGCCAATTTCCTTTATTTTTTTAATTCATGTTTTTTGGTCTTCTCCTTTTTCTTTTGCCAATGTTACCAATTCCATCACTCTCTTTTCTCTTTTTCGCAACTGTCGTTTCTAATTTTTTTCCATAAGTTCACTGAGAAAAAAATATCGTAAACAATACCAGAATTTGGGTCTTATTTACCAGTAGTCGTGGTTGTATATGCCCCAAACGCTACATGTAGTTATATTTACCACGACAATTTAGTTTTATGGAATTAGTATTGTACACTATGTCCGCGTCGCCAAGTATTACTAACGTTGTCGTGGTAAATTATACTACTACTGTCGGGTGAATAAAAACGACATTGACGTTATTATTATTGATAAATTGTTTAGTTTATATTTACTAAAATGCCATACTAATCATTAACATCAAAATATTAAAAATACTTATCATACAGTATTATTTTCAACTCTTTTAGGGTGTCTTTTTTAACTAGATGATACTGTCTAATATTCATTTATATCTTGCCTGTCATATTAACTGCAAAAAACATTTGTTGTTAAAATTAATACAAGTCAGTAATATATTTTACTTACCATTGAGTATTTTTTTCTAAAGGAATATTGAGTAATAAACTGTGTGTAAGTAATATTTTAAAATTTATTTATTTTAAATAAAAATACATTTTTTTTTACAAAAATATAAGAACAAATTACCTACAGTAGGTTGTATATAGTATGTTATACAGGGTTTTCCTTAATGACATGCAAATATTTAAAGGTGTCTTAAAAACTCATGTTATAAATAAAATAAAAGTCGCCAATGTATATGAAAATATTGTGTGTGAAATATTAAGTATTTTTGAAAATGAAATTAGTAGAAGTACTTGAAGTAGAAGGAGTAAGAGCTTGGAATTCTAGTGATTGAATACTAATATTCTCACTGTACACTTCTGGAACTTCAGCTTCTTGTAACAGTATCTCAGAAGACTGATAATAAAATATAAAAATAATTAATAAATATATTTATTATATAATGATATGCAAATATTTTAATAGTGTTATTCCTCATGTCATTATATGAAGAAAAGTAAAGATACAGAGTGTTAAAGTTTAAAAAAATCAATTTTTACTATTGTTTACCTCTGTTTTCTTATTTTATTCTTATTTTATCTTTTTTACATCAAACAATTAAAAATACAACTTCTTTGTTCCCTTTTTTTAAATTATGCTTAGTTTCAAGAAAAAAACAACAAACATTTTTTTCTCATCCCATGGGGCAGATCCATAAAAACAAAATTTTAAGAAGTTTTAATTTTTTTCTCGAAACCTAAGCAACATTAAAAAAACACTAGGAACAGTTATATTTTTAATTATATAATCTAAAGAAGCTATCAAACTTTTTAAAAAACTGTGGGGTACAATATTTTTACCATAAATATTAATTAGGTAACCCTTTTTCGCCATGGCGCGCCACTGAAATTATTTATTTAAATCTAGTTACAACAAAAATGACCCTTATTACTGCTAATACACTTTTCAAGTGATATTAAAATCGGCGAAAAATTAATAAAAACTTGTTATTTTTAAATTTTGACATGCTGTATCTTAAAAGTGCAATGCAAGTCAGTCAAAAAGTTTTACCTTAAAAAATAAGAGTATACTCTACATATATGTTTGGTGACACTAAAATGTAATGCTTGTTTCTATAGGGTATACCCTTAGGGTGAGCAACCCTATGCATGCAGGAAAAATTAAAATTATGCCTCCAACTAGGTATGCAAACCATGCTGAAACAACAACTAGGTTTGGACTTACTGGACATATTCGACTCTTGTACCTGGGTGCACTATTAAACCCCCGAGTCATAATACGGGGAGCTAATAATTAGGGACTTTAATGTTATACTATATTATATTATACTAAAAACCCATAGGTATGACCTAAAATATGTCCTAATAAGCTTACCACGAAACGTCTGTATTAAAGTTTCCATCCCCCATGCCGTTAAATATTGTTCCATCTAATTAAAATCAAAACATTCATCCCATCACCAATTTATTATGATGTGAATAAATAACTTACATTTAATTCCATGGTAAACACTATTTTACTCTAAAAATCTATGCTGCACTTCACACCACACATAAAAAAATAACAACTTGACACAACTTGTTGACAGCAAGGTCTCGTAGAATTCTAACGGTCAGAATTTTAACGAAAATCGTAACCCTTTGTCGTGGTAAAATACACCATCGATTTCAGTATTAATAAACGCAAGGCTTAACAAATATTCGACTATTCAGATTTTCTCGGATTTAGACAACAGCGTGGGTTTGTTTTACCACGACACTGTCATACAGAACTACTTCGCATGTCACCGTTTTGTAGTGGTATAATTTACATTTTTTGTCGGTATTTCTTAGAGCAATATCAGGGTATCAATAACTAAACTGTTTTTACTACTACTTATGGTAAATTACAAATTCAAATTTTCTCTCAGTGTTCTTCTTGTTCTAATGATCCCATTCTGATTTCCACGCTATTTTAATTCATTTCTATTCGATTTTGTACACCTTCGCCATTTTGTTTTTTATGCGGTTATTATATGTTTTTCTACTCCCACCTATAAAACGGCCATTATCGTACATGTTTCCATGACCCTAAGTGATCTTTTAAATACACATTGACAAGTTGTGGCTTCATAGCGTTTTAGTCACGGGCTGAAGTTAGTTTTAAGTTAGTTGACAGTTGTCAAATGTCATAATCTGCATAAATTAAATTCGTGACTAAAAATTTTACATATTTCCACAGCCTATAGGTGTAGGTATACGAGGTGTGTTTAGAAAATAACGGAAATTGTTAAATTTCGCGGGTTCGGAGGGTCCGGTTGTCATAAAATTTTCTTTATTATGTTGGTATACATGCCCCCGAAGTATGATAAAAACTTTAGCTGTTTTCATTGTTTAATTTGTCTGTGGCAGCCGCTAAGTTTAGACGTGTTTTATGAGCTCGCCGATTTTTCGTTCGTTAAAAGAAATGGATTAAAGAATTTGTATCCAATTTTGCTTAAAAAATGAAATAAATTCTGTGAAATGTTAATAAAGGCCTATAGTGAGTCTGCTATAAGTAAAACAAGACTTTACAAGTGGTATAAGAGTTTCCAAGATGGCCGTGAAGACGTTGAAGATGACGAACGCCCCGAACGCACAAGCACATTAACAACCGATAAAAACATGGAAAAAGTGGAAGAAATGGTTATAAACCATCAGAGAAGTCGCTGATGATGTTGGTATATCGATTGGCTCATCCCATGAAATTTTTTCAAATGTTTTGGGTATGAAACGCGTGGCAGCAAAATTTGTTCTAAAATTGTTAAATTTTGAACAACATTTTTGGCCAAAAACAATACTGTAATGATGCCCCAGCCTCCATATTCGCCAGACATGCCTCTGTCTGACTTTTTCCTATTCCCAAAAATAAAGAGAACCTTAAAGGTCCGTCGTTTTGCAAGCATAGATGACATTAAAAGCGCATCGCTGAAAGAACTAAAGGCTATCCCAAAGATCGAGTTTTAGAAGTGTTTCGAGTATTGAAAGTAGAGCTGGCACATGTGCATAATATCCATTGGGGTCTATTTTAAAGGCGACAACATTAATGTAGACGAATAAATAAATATTTGTTTCAAAAAACGAAAATTTCCGATATTTTCTGAACACACCTCGTATATCGGGAATTTTCGTTTATATAATGTCTTTAAATATTTTCCAGCTCTCCTAAATTTAAAAATTAAATAAAACAAATGACTTTGTTAAGAAAGTAAATTTAACAGGAATAATATTTTTTTAAATGATTTTATTTATTTTTGTTTACGTTCTGTAAAATGGAATTAGAATTTAAATTATTATAAAATCTAAATTTATTTACTAATTTCAATGAAGTTAATGAAAATAGGATGCAAATTACATATTAGCAATTATATTAAACTATAATTATAGTTGAATATAATTTAATTGTTTTGTAAAACAATACATTTTTAAAACTGTTGTGTATCGTATATGTAGTAATAATTAAGTTACAAATTACAATTTTTATTGTCCGGAAAATTGTTTAAATTCCATTAAATTAAAAAACAAACGCATGATTTTAAAGCAACCACATTCAACATTTATAATTTAGCAATAATAATAAATAAGAGACAAGGTGTTTATTTATTTAAAATTAAGTGCATTACACTTATATGTAGGTAATGCTTAAAATGCAATAAAAAGTGGAATTTTTTTAAATCAACAAATAATAAGGTTTTACATTTTTACAATCACTATTAAATACAAGTATTATAATTATAAATGCAATCTAAACCAACCAAAGCAAATAAAATTCCCAAAATATTTTTGCAACCTTTTAATAAATGTAAGCTTTTAATGCTATTATAAAATAGGTTTAATACAGTTTATTATTTACTTTTTTGTAGTTTTCTTAATACCACAACGGTATATCCTGGGCATAATGGGATTTTTGGCTGTGGTAAATGCTTATACCATGAGGGTAACTCTTTCAGTGGCCATTACCGAAATGGTAGCACCCATTATACACAATGCATCTTACAAGGATGAAACATGCACAGCTGAACTGAACATAAATCACTCAACGCCAATAGTGGTAAGGACAAAACAGATTTTGATTAATTAAAGAAATTAAATAAAATTTGCTAAAGGGTAAATCCACCAAAACTAATAGTTTAAATATCATTTGATATAATTATTATTGTTGATAAACGTAATTTTATTATATTATTACAAGATTTGTGGTTTTAAAGAAAAATAAGGGGTTATCCGTTATTCCCCAAGTTGGCCTTTTTCATCTTAATTATTTGTTTAAGTCAAAAAACAATTTTGAAAAAAAAATCCAATTTTGTTAAACAACCTGTCTCAATGACCTTTTAATGACACAAGAACAAATATAAAACTCGCTAATAAATAGACATCTAAGAATATAGACGACATATTTTTGTAGGAAATTGTACGCTTTACAAAAAAGGTCTTTTATGATTTGTGCGTTTTATTTTATTTAAATGATATCGGTTATAAATTTAAAATAATTTAAAAAATCCTTTTCTTAATTTCATGAGTTGGCTTTTTTCACTTGGGTATCATATAAATTACTTTTTTAGTCAAAAAATTAATGATGATACTTTTATATATTTTTTTAACATAGGAAAATCTTTATAACCAGCTTATATTAATGGACATACAACAGCCCAAGTAAAAAAAAGATATATTTTTATTAATTTTTTTAAGATTGTTTTTAGTTTGTAAACAAATAATTTAGATGATACCCAAGTAAAAAAGCCTACTTGGGAAATAACAGATATTTAAATAAAAATCTAATGTTTATTTGTCCCATTCCCGTCCTGTTCCAAGACATATTTTATCAATTTTTTTTTGCAGAACTCATTAAACTATCTAAAAGTACTAAATTAAACTCATACATTTCAACTAACAATTCTCGAAGGATATTAAAAAATCAAAAAGTGGAAGGGGTAATAAGTTTTGTGGGTAGGGACGGCTCTGATTAAAAGTATTAAAATTAATTTTGTGTTCTTCTTTTTAGCATAACAACAATTTGTACCACTGGACGAGCACCCAGCAAGGTTTAATATTGAGTTCCTTCTACTGGGGTTATGTTATAACGCATATACCAGGTGGAATAATAGCGGAAAAATTCGGTGGAAAATATGCACTGGGTCTTGGTATATTATGCACAGCCATCTTTACTTTTCTGACGCCTTTAGTAATTTATCTTACCGATGGAAATTGGATTTGGCTTGTTGCAGTGAGAGTTATAGAAGGATTGGGAGAAGTAAGTAAAAAAACACAATTGAGTGCCTTAAGACAAAATTGTACTCTCGAAGGATGTATAAACATCTTGGCTGGTACGAGTTTAGTGTGGGAAATATGAAAATTTTACAAACATATTTTTTTCAAAAATTTTAAAATCTTAGAAATTTAGAAATATTTGGAAGTTTTGTAAATTTCGCAATTTTAAAAAATTGAAAATTTTAAATTATAGAATTTGGGACATTTTCCCACAGGTTTGATGTTTGGCATTTGTAATATTATATGTTATGTGCATGAATTTATTCTACCGTGACCTGTAATTTTTTTTACTGATTTTGAGCTAAACGCGATAGATGAAACCACTCTTTCTATGTAATTTTAAAAAGATGTTTTTTACCATAAGTTTATGACACTCTGTAGAGTGGCAAAACCGTATATTGTTCTAAATTAAGGTCACATCTATTCTTAACAGTTTTGTCTTTAGTTCACCTCGATATATTTATTTGTGTGAAAAATATGGATTTTTTAAAAAAACATTGCAATTTCCAATATTTTTCTGTATGAAGAACTAAGGTTGCTATGGTCCATTCATAGGCTATGGAGAATGACAGTGATAGTTTTGTTGAATCATACACGGCTTTTAAATGCTATCAAATTGTTTTTTGCAAATTAATGTTTAAATTTTAAGGTGTCTTCTTACTTTAAAAATGGATATGTCTCCGACTGATGTTGCCAGAGCCATTAATTAAATCCAGGATGGACGGTCACAGTATTACGTGGCAAGTGTTTTAAACGTTACCAGAAGTAAAGTAGACATTTTTAAAAGTAAGAAGAAACCTCAAAATTAACACATTAATTTACAAAAAACAATTTGATAGGTTTTGAAAGCTGTCCAAGTATGGGATGATTCAACAAAACTGTCACTGTCATTCTCCATAGGCTATGGATTAGGGTGAGCCAAAAAAACTAACCTATCGGATTTATGGGTTAAAATGAACATACATACCGAGCAAAAAATTTCCCTGCAAGGCAAAATTTTTTGCTCCATTTTAAAAGGTGTCGGTGAGCATTCTAAGTTTTCCATTGAAATAACACGTAAAAAAATCTTTTTTCATTGTGTAAAAAATCACTAAAACTGCAGTTTTAGTGATTTTTTACACTTTTCAAAGCTTTCAAACATACGAATTTTTGAATTAAAAAAAATAATCCTGGTATAGATTCTTTGGGAAATTTTATGCTCTACAAGAATCCGCGACGTAAAAAATTTTATCTCGAACGGTTCAAAAGTTATAGTCTTTTTAATGAAAAAAGATTTTTTTACGTGTTATTTCAATGGAAAACTTAGAATGCTCACCGACACCTTTTAAAATTGAGCAAAAAATTTTGCCTTGCAGGGAAATTTTTTGCTCGGTATGTAGGTTCATTTTAACCCATAAATCCGATAGGTTAGTTTTTTTGGCTCACCCTACTATGGATGGACCATAGCAATCTTAGTTCTTCATACAGGAAAAATATTGGAAATTGCAATGTTTTTTTTTAAAAAAATCCATATTTTTCACAAAAATAAATATATCAAGGTGAACCAAAAACAAAACTGTTAAAAATAGATGTGACTTGATAATTAAAACTTAATTTAAATCAATATACGGTTTTGCAACTCTACAGAGTGTCTTAAACTTATGGTAAAAAATATCTTTTTGTTTAAACCTGTATATTATAAACGTACGTGTATTTTTTAGTAATTTTTAAAATGTGAGCGATTCTCCATTAATGTATCTACAATATTCTTTAATATTTGTTTAAATCCGAAATCAAATAAAAAAGTTATTGAAATTCATCGAAAATTTGTGTGGATCGATTATTTTGCCTGTGAGTGTATTAAAATTTTTAAATAAAATTTTATTGAAAAAAAATATATTATTTTAAATTTGATGAAATAAGGCGAAAAAGCATAAAATTCGCTAAAAAATCATTAATTATATATATTTAACATACCTTATGTTATGGGCTTCCTAATTAAAAAAAAACATGAGATCTATCCTCAGGTCCCTTACAGGAACATAAAACATAATTTAAAGAAAATCAGACAATTTTTATTTCTTTGTTGTCTCCTTGAAGTTCGCCAATGTTTTAAATATACTACACATTTTGTAGGTATTCATCAGAAACATTTATAAAATTTTATTATTATTAAACAATTTTAAACGATTTTATGTTGACTATGACTATATGTTACTAACCTATACAAAATATTTTAGGGTACCACTTTCCCTGCTCTAACCACCCTACTTGCTAGCTGGGTACCATTGAGCGAAAGATCTAAAATAGGTACGCTAGTGTACGCTGGAAGTCAAATAGGTAAGTAAAATAAAGGTTTAACAAGAACAAATAAGTTATACGTAAATTTTTATTGAGTTTTTAAGTGTGGAAACTATACAAATTATTTGGATAAATAGGTACCAAATTAGAGCTAATATTTTAAATTATTTTAAATTTTTGTTTGAAAGATTTAAAGTTGTATACTCGGTTGCATCCACATTTTAATTTTTTAAAGTACTAATTTTTGCTATTTATTACAATTTCCAAAAAATTTAAATTGTTATTTTATTTTTGTTCGAATTATCGAATGTATTACGATTTAGCCGGATATTTTTTGACTTTTTACGAAAACTTGGGGGTTTGAAGTATTAATTTGACGAGAAGAAATTTCTTAGAATAAAATTAACAAACCACCAAGTTTGAGTTAAGAGTCCAAAAAATTCCACGAGTAAATAAATTAAGACATTTTTGTGTCCCTTTGGCATTTCTCTATACAATATTACTATGGAGAAGGTAAATAGAAAAATAATCCCCAATTTTGGCCACTTGCATTTCCCTTCCTTCCTCTTTAACCGTCAGCAAACCGTATTTAATAGATTTAAATTGACAGGAGTGAAATTGTCGTTATCAGTTATGGAAATTAATCCCGGCGCATTCGCCATTTTAAAAAAGAAACGGTGTTTCATTAACACGTTGAATTATTAAATATCTAATTTTATTGTTTGCCACAGGGTGGGCAATAACTTTTTAAGGGTAGGTACTTTGGGTGGGCTGATTACAAAAATGAGCCTTATTTTAATAAGGTAGCTCTTGTTTTTGCGATATTGTATAAAAAAGCAAACAGTAAAATTCGTATATAAATTTTATTAATCAAATCTTTAACCGATGATCATTGGTAATGTAGATATGGGTCCTAATTAAACTAAACAAATATACCCAGTCAAAGTTAAAAATCATGTTTTTAACGAAATAAAATGGTTTTTTTACCAAAAATTTGACAATTTTTAAAATTTAAAGCTTTCGGATGCACTTGGCACTCAGCGCTTAAACGCTTATGTTATGTTTTTGAGAATAAAGCCGGAAATGTTAAAAAATATCGGAAAAAAAACCGTGGCACGATTTGTTGTGTTGTTGGGTGTATTTCGAGAGGAAATCCTTGGTTGAGTTTTTACCGGGTTTCCAATAAACAGTGTTAATCCGAATGAAGAAATAAATTTCATACAGTCCCTGTAAATATAAATTGTATCTATTAGATACAATAAATACACATTTAAGTAATGATTAACGTAAAAAGTGTAAACATTTTAATTCAGTAAAAAACGTCAAACAAATAAGTCGTATAAATTCAAACAGCATTTAACATAATTAAAAGCGTTGATTAAGAAAGACTCCAATCAACGGTAGAATACCATTATATTATGTATTATATTTAATATTATGTTGCCATAAATTCTTTGGTATATTTTGTTGTTTAACATGCAGTTGTCGGCGTTTTTTAGAGGTCTCAAATATAAAAATGTTCGAAGGTTATGTTTGTGCAACAATTATTTTTTACTAATTTCTTAAAAATGCCCAAACTTAAATATAAATTATATTAGGTTTAGTTATCATTAGTATATTCTGCACCAACAAATGTACTTACCGAATTGGATCCTTTGGCAAAACATGAAAATGCAACGATTTAGTTCTTAAATTTTATTTACAATTAAAAACACAATAATTCACCATGATCCCTTAGATAAAATACACTCACTAACGTAACTATATAAGCATATAAATAAGCAATCGAAATCGAGTAAGTCTTCTGCCTTCCTCTCTTTTATGAAAAAACTTTTTTCTTTAAAAATTATGTGCAGTACGTATGCTTTAAATGTATTGTTGACAATTCTTAAATACTCACAATGCTATTGAACTCCTCCACCAGATGGCGCGCGCGTTGCGAAAACCCGATACTTCTTTAGCCTATGGTGGATCAGTTCACATTCGCTTTTTCCTCTTACAGTTTGCTGTTGTTTTTTCCTTTTTTGACAATACCTCGCCATGTCTGTCTATTTCTGATTTTCTCTGTCGGCTTCCTTTTAATATTATTACTATATACTTGATCTTTCCCATCTTGGTTTTGACCCTCTCGATCAATCCTATACTGGTCTACACTTCCTTATTTTTCTTACTACTTTGTTTTTGTCTTTTCTGTCCAAACCATCTTAGTCTCTGCGCCTTGTTTACCTTTACTTTATTTTCGTTAATATTTTTTTATCTATTTCATAATTTATTAGTATTCTTGACTCCTCTTATTTTAACTGGTCCGTATATTTTTCTCTTTCTTTAAAAACATCTAAATTTCTCTTCTTCTTCTTTGCTTTTCATAGTCTCTGCTGTATAGGTTACTACCGGTCTTATGGCTGCCTTGTATATTTTTATCTTTGTTGTTTAACTTATCGGACATATTACTAAATCGGACATACTACAGATACAGTCAGTATATAAAAAGTAACAATATATATATTGTTACTTTTTATATACTGACTGTATCTGTAGTATGTCCGATTTAGTAATATGTCCGATCTAGTAATATTCTTTGATTTATTTCCTCTGTCCTGTCGTTTTTGTCATTTATTATTATTTTGAGATATTAAAAGCTAGTCACCACTTCATACCTGTTATTTCCTATTTCGACTATTTGTAGTTTAGTACTATTATGTTTATTGCATCGTTTCCTATTGTAATTGTAGTCTTCTTTAATCCTTTGCTGTCATCTGCATACTCAATTATTTGTACATAATTATTATTAACCCTTTTATGCCTGTTGTGAATCGCCTTACCTTACCCATTTATTATGTTTATACTCCTCTGGTTCTCCTTCTTCCATCATTAATTTTCCTGTCGACCTTTTCATCTTCATATGCACCAGTTTTTTCTAGGTAGGTATACTCATCTTCTTTTAAAGCTCTACTGCAAATGTTATCAATAATATATCAAGGCCTATTTTATATACAATATATATAATATAGTACGTGGGCTTTCTCTACTATTTGCGTCATTATATGAATTGGATCTATTTGTTTCCTATTTTCTTTTTTATACATTTCTTGTAGAAAAATACCAATAAATAAATAAATCGTAAAGAAGAAATTAAATAATTTGATTAAATAATGTACCTAATTCCCCTTCAAAACGATTATTGTTTTAAAGAGGAATATTGTTAAATTGTCCGTAATATATCCTATATAAAAAGAATATATATATATATATATATATATTATATATATATTCTTTTTATAACATACTTTATTTGAAATAATTTTTTTAAGGAACTGTTGTTGGAAACTCTGTATCAGGGGCTTTAATAGCCTCAACGAACGACTGGGCTTCCGTTTTCTATCTTTTTGGTGCCATCAGTATTATATGGGTGGTTTTATGGTTCTTACTGTGTTATTCGGACCCAGAATCCCACCCATTTATAACAGAGGAAGAAAAGAAATATCTCAGTGAAGAAATAGGTACCTTCATAAACTAATAATAATAAATATTAGGTACTTGTTTACTGATTTAATATTACTTTTAGTAAACATATCCAGTGACAAAAAAGTAATCCCTTGGAAGTCAATATTGACCTCAACACCCATATGGGCTTTAGTTTTAGCCCAAATCGGTCACGATTGGGGATTTTTTACGATGGTTACAGACTTGCCCAAGTACATGAAGGACGTTCTGCATTTCAACGTTAAAGAAAACGGTGTATGGTCATCTGTACCTTACATTTTCATGTGGATCGTGTCCATGAGTTCTGGATGGCTGTGTGATTTTTTGATTGCAAAAGGATGCATGGGTCTTACATTTGCAAGAAAATTCTTTACAACAATTGGTAAGAAAGCTTTTAAAATATAAATACTGGATTTTACTATATGAGAACCATAATATAGTCCTCTATGTCCTACCAAAATAAAAAATAGGAATTTTTTTTAGCATCTATGGGTCCAGCTCTTTTTATCATCCTCGCTTCTTACTCTGGATGCGATAGATCGCTCGCTGTTACCATGTTTACCTTGGCAATGGGTTGTATGGGTACATTCTACTGTGGTATGAAGGTAAACGCTCTGGATTTATCTCCAAACTATGCTGGTGCTATTATGGCCATAGTAAATGGTATTGGAGGTTTGACTGGAATTATAGTACCATATCTAGTTGGTGCTTTGACAGAAAACGTAAGTAACTTAAAAGATGTGAATATTATATTATTTTAAGATTTAAAATCGGCTGTCCATGGTAAGAGAGCAGTTAACTGCATTTTGATTGACACTGATAAAAAGGAGAAAAACCTTTCGTTTCAGAAATCGTAGCTTCTAATTCTGTTCTGGTAAATGAGAGTCAATAGTTTTTCTTACTTCAAAGAACTTTTTTTTCCTTGCTTCGATGTAATAAAAAAATAAACTAAACGTTGTCAAAATCTCAAGAATATTAATGTATTATAAGTTATAAGGTTATAAAAAAATTATTTTCGTGAAAAATTTCAGTTCTGTTACTTTGAACGGCAGTAAAATATTTATACTGTACAGTAGACTGGGCCAAAAAAAATTTCGTGAAAATTTGAGCCCTTAATATTAATTTTAAGAGGTTTATCATCGCTATTTTTGATTTTTAGTTACGTTAGAACTGTGAAAAAAATTCCTTTTCACTTATTTTTATATAAAATTAAATTCTCTACAAAAAAGGTCTTTTAAAATTTTTGCCTAAATTTAATTCTTCAAAAGTTATTCACGAAGAACAAATTGAAATTTTAAGTTTTTCTTCGATTTTAATCGTGAATAACTTTTGAAGGCAAAAAGTTAAAGACCTTTTTTGTAGAACATTAAATTTCCTTTAAGAATCCGATGTGAGCTTTTTTAAATATTCATTGATTCATTAGTTACAAAATTTCAAAGTAAAAAGGGCAAATCGAAAAAACACATCGATTTTTTAAGCTCAATTACTCGGAAACGGCTCGTCTGACGAAAATTTTCAATCAGACCTTTTTTGTAGAGAATTTAATTTTATATAAAAATAAGTGAAAAGGAATTTTTTTTACTTTAATTTTTTGATAGTTCTAACGTAAAACATCAAATTATGACTGAAAATAGCGATGATAGACCTCTTAAAATTAATACTAAGGACTCAAATTTTCACGAAATATTTTTTTGTCATTCTGAATAACATTCTTGATATATTTTTCAAAAAAAAATAGTCAATTTTTTTGGCCCAGGATAATTGGAAATTGTACTAAATAAACTATATAACTTATAACAGGAAATGTTCGAAATTTGTATAAGGTAAACTTTAAACTATTTTTGTTTTAGCACTCTTTGTTGGAATGGAGATTGGTATTTTGGATTACCTTTGGAGTATTGTTCGCTTCCAACCTCGGTTTCATCCTCTTTGGTAGCGGTGAGGTGCAAGCTTGGAACAATTTGGAAGAATCTGAAGAATCTAAAAAAGGAGATGTAGAACGACAAAAACAAAACGGCGAAAAATGTTGAACAAAAAATTTAAATTAACTGCCAAATATGATTTAACTTAATTTAATTATTATCCTAAAGACTGAACAAACAGTTTTTATATTGACCAAGTGATATGATTTTTCTCAAATATTACTTAAAACAGTGATATTATACTATCTAGTGTATAAGCTAGATATCAGTAGTTGTAAATAGTATTATTTCTTTATTATATTGTGTTTTTACAATATTTTATTTATTATTATGTAGCATAATATTGAAATATAAGTATAAAATATCAAAAGGTTTATTTTCTTGCAATAAATAACCATATATTTACCAAAAAATCATCTAAACATGTCTTGGGTGGATTTTGACATAGATCTGGGTGTTTTTGGAAGCATTATAATATAGTTACATTTATGAATAGTTAAGGCATATTGTGCCCTTTTTGAAACACCCTGTATACATACAAAATCCCACAAAATTAGCACAAGTTTTTAGAAAAGTCCACAGAGACTTTGCAATAGTCCCGCCCGTTACGCTTTAAATTATTAATTTTTAAGGAATTAAACAGTCAATCACGATACCTAATTTAGCCAAATAAAAACCTTGTTAAACAGCTTTAGTTTAGAACTATTTATAAAAATTTGACATTGGTAATATAATAGAACAATATTATTTTGTAAATAAAAACACGGCAACTGTAGTATCCGTTACGCGTGGAATGGCTCAGTAACGTTTTTTTGTCCTAAAAAGTTAATGATTATGTACATACGACATTTTGCAGTTTCAACGACGATACACGATGCGACCAGTATTTATAATTAAAATATAAGCATTTTGTTTTAAACAAAACTTTACTCTGTCAAAATACTTAATAAATTTAATGAATGTCAGATTCTCATGGCGTAGTTTTTGATTTTAGTGTTTGATATTATTGATTTTTTCAATTAATGGGGTAGGAAGTGTGAAACCACTTATATTAAAGAGATTAGTCAATAAAACCGACCAAACTGATAAAAAAACGATTTTTTCTATCAATTTTTCCTTAAAAATGACTAAATATCAATATATTCTCTTGGTAGTGTGACGTCACGATGTATTGCGACTATCTTAAAATGAATTAGTCAAAAAATACTAATTATAATTATAATTATAAGTCATATTTGACTAATTGTCATAGCGAAAATGCAGTCGCAAATAACTAAACTGCACACCACTCAATGTGTCGCGACCAAAAAGTTCGTTCTTTTTCAAAACGAGATAACTTTTTTGTTTCTTGAACGATTTTATTTTGGTCTGTGATGTCTGCTAGCCCTATCCTCTGGCAATTCATGCTATAGATATGAAGCTCACGGTTCTTCAAGTAAATTTCGTACAGGGTGATATGTAAAACGGTCAAAAATTTCAATAACTTCATGCAAGCCCCGTTTGTAAAAAAATAATTTTTTTCTCGTTTTTACTTTGAAATATTGAAGTATTATGTCTTACCTTGAAAAGGTTTTCAAATTTTTTGTATTGGAATCTTAGCAAAGAAAATTTGATTTTTTTTTTCAAAAGAGTACATTTAAGGCTTTTTGGTAGGCAATACACTCAGTCCTTTTAAGAACAATGAGATTAGATGGTGAAAGATTGTTCCTTGAATAATTCTGAACAAGGGACAAGCAACAAACTTCCATTATTTTCAGAGGGGCCTAAGCAAAGACCACTTTCTCAAAATGACGTTTTGGTGAAAATTTGCGAAAACTAATCCTGAACCGATATTTACGTTCGTGACATGTTTTCTTTATAATTTTGACCTCCTGATTGTGATTCAGTTGTCAAATTTAAGTTTCAGATAAAACCAAAATCACTAAGAATCAAAATTCGAAAACAATTCCCGGCTGTTAAATTGCATACAAAAAAGCCTTAAATGTACTCTTTTGTAAAAAAAAATCATATTTTCGTTGCCAAGATTCCAATTCCAAAAATTTGAAAAATGGTTCAAGGTAAGACATAATACTTAATTATTTCAAAGTAAAAACAAGAAAAAAATTATTTTTTTACAAACGGGGCTTGGATGAAGTTATTGAAATTTTCACCGTTTAACATATCACCCTGTAGGAAATTTACTTGAAGAACCTTAAGCTTCATATATATATCATGAATTGCCAGAGGATGGGGCTAAGAGACATCACAGACCAAAATAAAATCGTTCAAGAAACGAAAAAGTTATGTCGTTTTGAAAAAGAACGAACTTTTTGGTCGCGACACATTGAGTGGTGCGCAGTTTATTTTATTCGGTAGAATTTAACTAATTATAAATAGTCAAATTCTACTGAATAAAATAATCAAATTAGTAGTAAAAAATAACTATTTTTAAAGTGAAAACGACTGTTTTATTAGTAAACAATGCTGGTACTAATTCAAATAGTAGAATTTTGAATATTTCATTTTAAGAGAGGATGTTATAATATAAATGGTGTATTGGTATGATAATATGGTAGGTATTATAAGCGTGTCAAGATTTACGAATAAGTATATGCAAAAATAAACATTCCAATCATAATCAAATTCTTTGACAGTTATAATCTTTTTACTTATAAAACCATTAAGAGCGAATTTAAGTGTGACATTTTTTATAATTAAAAATGTGCACCTCTAGTGTGTACTTTACCTCGATTTTTAAACGATTTAAATAGGTACTTAAAAGTATATTAAACATCAACTAAAAACAGTAGTGTTCTTAAAAATTGTTTGAGAAACTAAGGAAAAAAAAATTTAATAACAAACAAATTCCAAATTTGGAATACAAAATTTCAAACAAATTTTGTGTCCTACCCATTTAGGTGCCATAGAATAAAAAACTGGTGGAGATAAAAATGTAAAACTCTTATTTTTTGACCACTTGTAGTGTTCATTATATTGATATTTTGTATATTTTTTAAATTAGTAAGTAGCATCTACGAGCTAAATATAGTGTCATTTTTTGATTTGATTGACGAAAAAGTTTTCGTAGATTTTGACGATAGAAAAAGAATATATCTGGTATTATAGCCTATAATTTATAGGTTATATTGGTTTATACTCAAGGCTGATTCACACTATTGTGTTACGTTTTTTAAATGAAAATATTCAGGTTATATTACAAGAGCATCGATAATAATCGAATATTTTGTAAGTAACGAGACTGCAAAAAAACACGAGAGCGTAGCTAGACTGGTATTTTACGGATGTCGAGTTACGAGGGAGTGGTCGAGTTGTATTCGTAACGTTATATAATGAATAGACTGATAATAAATTATTATAATTTTTATTTATTTTGTTTTAATATTAAACGTATTGTATTGTAGTAATATTTCATGGCTCTAGATTTAAATTTTTATCCATTATTTTTGCTTTGTTGGACCCACCGAAAAAGCGAAGTGATTAAACCACTTTGTTAAGGGTATATCCGTTTATTGGTAACTAAGTAAAATTCTTAATTCCTATTAGCTAAATTTTTGAAGAGTTATATAATTACCATAACCTTAAGCGAACCGTAGATCAGTAAGTACTTGTGTGTAAACAACAATCAAACGGAGTTTTTTTTTATATTTTTGTATTAACAAGAGCAAGATACAAAGGCAGAATTAATTCGAAATAACAAAAAACTTTCGTTTATTGACAAGATATTTCTAGGGTTCTAAATGCGTATACGTTTTACAGGGTATTTCTGGGGATCTAAATGCGTATTACAGGGTACCTTTTACAAGGTATTTTAGTGGAACTAAATGCGAATTCCAGGGTACATTTAAAGGGCATTTCTGGGGTTCTATGGGAAAGAACAATACTCGTAGTCTGGCAGCATGTCCGGAAAAACGTGACGGCATTTTTAGCCAATAGATTTAAAGGTTATCAAAAGGATTGGAATTTTGCGCATCGTTTAAATAAACAATCGGGCTATTTCCGCGGTATTTCTACATATGGGCTATTCCGGGGTTCTTTTGCGGCTTAAATGGGGTTCTTTTACGGCTTTAAAGGTATACCTATAGGGACATGGAAAAAGTTACTTCGTTACCACTAAAATGCATGGGATTTTATTTGACCTATTTTACCTAAATTTTAATTTTTAAGACAAATGGACCTAATCTTTAAATTTTACCACTTAAAATAGTGTGATTTTACCTAAATTATTATTATTAATGGAAATAAAATTTTAAAACTGTACCATCAAAACCATGCTTTATTTGTAAAATTGGGGTTGTATTTGGATGACATCATTCTTATGCACTAAGTACCTAGTTATTTTTTGTTGGTACTGCAGTTGCAGTTGGTACTCGATGGAAATAGCGAACAGTGACTCAAATGACGCGAGTGACGCGAATGTGAAATTCTTGTGCAATGTTGCATTTTTATAAATTCTGGCAAATTTTTGCTTTTTCATGAGAAAGTATTTTTTTAAACATTTTAATCACAATACATTTGAATTTTTAAGTCTGGAATCGTATGCTCATTTACAAAATCATTTTGTAAAAAATTATATAATTTATAATGGTATCAAATCATAAAAATTTTGTTCAATAAAATGTTCAAAAACAAATTAAATAATTTTACCACCTAAAAGTTGTTGTACCTATTTTCGAAAAGAACGTCCTTAAGAATTTTTCTTACATAAAACAAGAAAAAAGTTTACCTATTTAGGTACCTATTTTTATAAATTTTGCGACCTAAAATCATTATTATTTTTCTTAAAAAAAGGAAGTTGTTTTTATTTTACGTCCTAAACCCACGAACCTTACTTCAAATAAAAGATTATTATTATTATTATTATTATTCTCGACCCCCCTTAATTATATTTCTGGCAGCGCCCATGGTGTCATGGAAACATGTACGATAATGGGTGTAGAAAGTATAAAAAATCTAATGGCCTGGATCACAGTTCATTGATAAAAATTCTAATTCAACATTTGACCAGAGAAATATAATTTGGTAAATAAAATACTTTTTATCAAAATAATTATTTTAGTATCATTGACTTTTGTAATGAATGAAGGCGTTATTATTTAAAAATTTGGAATTTTCCATAGTACTACTATGATACTACTACATATTTACATACAAACTAGAAACACATACAAAGATAACACGTTGAAAGAATATGAAATACATGGTAATCTAGGTCGATTTAAAATTAATATATTGGGCACGGTTAAAATGTTTTAAAATTTTAAGCAAAGGTTTTTAAACCGCTAAATCCAAAATATTCCATCCTGTCCAGTTATGGTAATAACTATAACTACTTAAAATGTTGCTTTTTTAATTATTTTTAAGAGTTAAAAGTATTGGTTAATATCGAACATAATGTGAATTTTATTTAATAAAAAAACGTTTTATTTGCATTGAAAATATGGATTATATTGAAATATATTGTTTCATCATTAATAATAAAATTATTACCCATTTAATAAAAACAAAAACTACAGTAAATACTTTTGTTTTGGGAATAAAAGGTAATATGTTATAATAAAACCATCAATTTGAGTATATAATAAATTGTGTTTATTAGCATATAAAGTTTATCAAAACACTTGTAGATAAGTATCTAGATACCTAGGTATATGATAAACCTTCGCACAATTTATTGATTGTCAAGTGGATTAACGGCTTTTGTAAACAAAATAATAGGTAACCAAGCAAGTTTTATTTATTTTAGAAATGCGAATTTTAATGAGGTACCAAATTTAATTTGTTAAACGTTTGAAATCTGTCAACTGTCGCCCGGTTTTCACATTACTTTTTCTCAATTTATAATAAGGCTAACTTCAGCCCGTGACTAAAAATCCCAAAACCCACTGTTGTTAACTTCAGCCCGTGACTAAACCGCCATAAAGTCACAGCTAGTCAATAGAGGAGTAGATAATAGTATATTATGTATCAAGTTTTATAAACGTCATTTTAGTTTAATTAACCACGAGCGTAGCTTGCGAGAAAAGTTTATAAACGAGTTGCATCCTATACATTCAATTTTTTTAGTTTCTTGATCCATAACTGGTAATATTAATAAGAAAAAAATGAACCCACATCTCGCCAAAGTTTTTTGTTTTGAGTGCTTTCCACCAACTTCAACTACAGGCAGACAGCTGTTTCGACCTATATTAAAACAAACGAGGAACACAAAACACAATTTAAAGCCAATTTTATTTGTTAAAAGTTTGACATCTGTCAACTGTCACTCGAATTTAACCTCACTTTTTCCCAATTTACAATAGAGCTATCTTTAGCCCGTGACTAAAAAGCTTAAAAGCCACTGTTTCTAATTTCAGCCAGTGACTAAAATGCCATAAAGTCACAGCTCATCAATGTAGGAGTAGATAAAACATATTTATGATACAAAATTTCATTATTTTAATATCGTTAGCAGTTTTAAATGCCGATATTATCTTTTGTAATTTTTAATTGAATCGGTGAGATTAAGAACAGTACAAAGTCCAAAAATTTTATTTTGACAATTCATTTTTTTTAATCAATTTTAAAGTTCAAAATACATTTTTATGAGAAGATATTTATACAGGGTTTTATGTAATTAATGTTATATATTAAAATACTGAATACCTTTTGACATAAGGAATAAAGGAAAAATATTTAAAAAAACATTTTTCCAAAGATAAAGAAAAAATATGCATTAGAAGTTTTTTATATTTTTTGTGATACGCCACTGGTTACACACTTGTTTATCTCTGCACACCTGTATTTTGTGAGTACATAGATACCAACAAAGTAGCTATGCGTTGCCAGATGTAAAACATTGTAACAAAAAATTTTTCTTGCAAAAAATAAATAAAAACTCAATAAATACAAAAGTTTTATGCCCTTAAAGCTCTAATACCCTTCTGTATTTATTTACTGATCCAGCTATTAGCTTAAGCAATGATTAGAAAATTTAGTACCTTTGAAATTTGAAATCGATAACCACAAAATTAATTTTTTCATCAGTTTTTTTCTCTGTTTACTCAGATGAAATTGGGACCAGTTCACAGGTTAAACTTTAAACATTTAATTTGTGTAAATAAATCCAAAAGCACTTCCCTTAGTTAAGATATTTACAATTTGAAAACATAACCTAAAATTTAAAAGAAATGCACTAGATTCTGTCATAAAAGTTGTCAGATTTTGTTTGAATTTACCTTCAGTACAAAAATGAAATAACCAACAATTAATAAAAACGCCAAATTGACAATTTGCATTGTTAATTTTGTCATTTTTGTAATCAAGCTAAATTTAAACAATTTTTGTCAACTTTTTTGAGAGATTTTGGAAATACTGTTGTTACCAACCATAACATAATAAATCCACCAGATTAACCTAAAGTTCCTAGTCGATCAGTGGCGTACTTTTTGGTAGGATAAAGGTTATTATAAATTATTTTTAAACTTTGGAATTTAGAAAAAATAAGTTTCAGGTGCTTCTTTATGGACCCTAAGGAACAACCCATTTTAATATATAACATTAATTACATAACACCCTGTATTTATAAATCCTTTTACACAAAAAAGCATTTAGAACTATAAAACTGATTTTTTGAAATATTTTATCAAAATTTTTACTTTTGGACTTGTACTGACTGACTTAATCTCACCGATTCAATTAGTAAGTATTTTTATTTGGTTAAATAATTTTTAGTTGGTTTTGCATGCTATGACATGCCCAAAAAAACGTAAAATAATAATAGTAATAATTTAAAGTAAAATGTGAGGTTAGAGATATCTGAATTGGTAGTATATTTTTATTAGTCAAAACGGTTTTTTTACAGACTATAGTCCTATAGGAGGCAATAATCGCCTAGGCTGTAAAAATAATTTAGACCAATCGGGTTTTTATTATAATATAATATAAAATAATATTATATATAATCAATCACAGTACCTAGTTAATGTTGACAATAATAAGGTTTAAATTATAGTTATATTAAAGTTTTGATATTGCAAAACAAAATATAATTTTACTTTGGCTTAAAAATTATAATGCGTTTTGGTTGGTTGCTCTCCAATTAATTTATTAAAAAAGGTGGCAAATTAATACCCACACCAACCTGCAATGATTGTTAAAATCCAATTATCGTCGATGATAATTTATTTATATTTTATTTATTTACATACGACGTTATGCATATATTATTTTTAAATGCATAAAAATATGTCAGTAAAATTTTTTCACACGATAACAATAAATTGTGGTAAAATAAATAGCAAAATTTGAATAACTTTATTTAAATAAAACATTTTGCCGCATACAGCGCGCAGCCTAAAGCACTTGATTCTATAAAACTTAAAACAATATCAGATTTTGTTCATTACGGATTCTTGTTCATCCGAACACACAACGAATGTGATAAAAAAATAGTTAAGAGTGATTTTAGTTTTTAAGTGGTTTTGTTTAGTGGATGGTTCAAACATTTTTGGAATACTAAACAGTTTCTAGAAATTAGTTAAAATGCTGACAGGATGGCGACTACAAATTTCGAAGTGTAAGTAAAAGAAACAACCTTGTTGTGGAATTTTTAAGGCAATGTAGCGCATTTAAGAAAAGTAGGTAGGTTTCTAAATCTTTTCGGTTTTATATTAAATTATATTGCAATAAGTATATAAGTTATCAATTTAAATATATATATATTGATTTAATAATAAAAAAAAATAAAACATAAAATAATACAAAATACAAAGTTTTATGTTAAATTCGTTTATTTCATATTTTTTTAAATTTTACTATACTCGTACTGTAGTAAATTACCACTAGTAATAGTTTTGATAAAATACAGGATGTGTATTTTTTCGGGTCATGTCACCAATATTGTATATTAGTACTTTTTCGTGTCATGCATTTTTTATAGTTTATCCTGTTTAAAATATATGCAATTAAAATGAAATTAAATTTGAACTTGATTTTGGCATAAAATTAATTATAAAACCTTAAAAATATAAAGTAGATATATAAATAAATAATAATAATAATACCAGTGGCGGCTGGTGGATGGATAATACCGATATAAGTATAAAAATACTACAAAATATTACAAAAAAGATTAGTATATAGCTCTTAACTTAAGTTTTTTAAATTCAATTGTTATTTTAGTTTTTAAAAGGATTGAACCAATTTTTTTGGTGACGCCATGACGCTTCAAAAATATTTTTTTTTAATAATAACGATGTCTTTTTTACACAAACTGTCAAAACATACATTTGTCAACCCTGTTAAGTTCAACTATAGCTGCAGATGTCTTTATTTTCTTTTCATATCAACCGTTTTGTGTGTTATTATTATTCATCTTATTAAAAAAAAAATTTAGATTTGGTACTTCTGTTTTAATTTTACTAACTCTCAAAGAAGAACGTTTTTAAATCAGTTAATTGAACTAAAAATTACGTTTAATTTATACCCCATATTTTTTTCTCAAAAAATTGTTGAATAGATGAAAAAGGCTTTAATCGCATGTCTCTTGTTTTGACGACTAAAGTCATGGCCAACTGTGATCTCTTTTCGGTTTTGGATTTTTTTAGAGCAAAAGTAACTACTATTCAACACTTAAAACAAAAAAGAGTTCAAAACCCACGAAAAATAAAAAAACGCATTAAAAAAAGTAAAAAGCTTTATTATTTGGATTAAAATATAGTTTATGTCATTATTGTGTTTTTATTGCTTAGTGCTTTTCGCCCAGTGTGCTCTGTAACAGGTTTGTAAATTTAAATGATTATTAGAAAAAAAAATAATTTTTGTTATTCTTAAAATAAGCCCATGCGCTATTTTTGGGACACCTTATAATAGTATATTATGTATCAAGTTTGATAAACACCATTTTAATTAAATTAAATGCGTTTCTAAAAAAGTTTATACGAGTAGCATACCATACTTTTTATACAAAAAATACTTATTATTATCTAAAAATGATTTAAATTAAATATTTGTATTAAGAGATATCTATAAAACAATAAAGTAATCAACTTGGGAATCTGTGTTATGGTGAAAATGTCAAATTTTTATGTGTAAATCTAAATTTATTCATTGAAAGTGAAGAAAATGTTTTCAAGGTGGAGTCTCCACCCAACATTCAATTAAATCTAGTTGACTGTCAACTTACATAAAACTAACTTCAGCCCATGACTAAAAGGTCATAAAGCCACAACTTTTTAATGTGTATTTAAAAGGTCACTTAGTGTCATTGAAACATGTTCGATAATGGGCGTTTAAAGGTGGAAGTAGAAAAAATCATTTTTCTAATGAAAAATCAAAAAATAATAATAATGGGAACAAACCATTATAAAACAAGTTTGGTGGTATAACATGAAAATGCAAAGCCCTGTTATTCATAAAGAAATTGTATAAAAAACTGATACAAATTAAACTTTATGTAACCCAAAGTTTATATGCATAAACTTAGGTATATATAAGTTTATGCATATATGAACAATTCATTTAGGAACAACGCGTTGCAACGTGTATAATTATTAATAAGGCAATTGCCTAATATTATAAAAATCTAAGATGCTTTTATTAAAATAACCAAATGTAATAATATTAATATTTGACATGGCCAATTTTAAGACCCCACAAGTAAACTTTTAAATATACAGTGCTGTCTAATAAGGGTCAAAAAATTAAGACAACAATTTTAAAACGTTATTGTATGTTTTATATTTCATTATATTTTATAATATGTTTTTAATTTGAAAAGTAAATAATTAATTAATTGTCACTGTATTATAAAATATTATTAAATTGAACAAACTTTTATAAGATTGCATTTATTTAACTAAGTTTAAATACTCCACATGAATGTTTTTCTAATTACATTTATGCCTTGGAAAAATCCTTTTTTTAAAACTGGTATTTGGAAATTTTCTTATCAAAATTGAATAGTTTTCTTACACCACCTATAATTTCTCATTGAATTATCTGTTTAAAGAATTTTTTAGGTTAAGAATTTAATTTGTTTAGTAATAGGGCGGCAAAAATTCTACAGTCTATACCTACTTGAAAAATCTGTAAATCCGACACCGCCGATGGCTCATTAGTTCTGAATGACCCTGTATAATTAATTATTTTAATCTAGGTAACGACTTTTTTAACTAATATTCTACTTTAAGATAAATAATCCCCTAATAATGGTTTTATTATACCTTATCTACAAACAAGTAAATTCTTTATTTTAATAGATACAATTGGTATCTAAAGCCTTTAAACCCCATATAAAACTCAAATTGGGTGTTTCAAAGAGGACAAAAACTAAATCTCACGAAAACTTGGGTCATGGTTAATTAACAGTAACAACAGTTCAGGTTTTTGGGGAGGTGACATACATTAAAATTACAACCATTTCAAAGATTTTGCAAACTTTTAAATCATAAAATGTAAAGGAATTTAGACTGAAGAATTTTTTTTTCTACTACCACCTTTAAAACGCCCATTATCGTATATGTTTCCATGACACTTTAGTGAACTTTTAAATACACATTGACAAGTTGTAGTTTTATGGGGCTTTAGTCAGGAGCTAAAGTTAGCAACAGCAATATTTGCATTAAAATTCGTTTACCTAACATACCACACATGTTCGATAGGGATCCTATCATAAGGTTAAGGTCGGGAGATTGCGTAGGCCAGGGCAAAATCTTCCTGAACTGTCGCCAAGCGTTCTGGGTTTCCTGATCGCCTAAAGACTTTTGTTCTACGAGTATGTGGAGTCAGTCCAAATCGGGACTTGCCAGTAGACAAAACAGGGGCCAAGACGTGCATACGAGGTGTGTTCAGAAAATAACGGGAATTGTTAAATTTCGCGGGTTCGGAGGGTCCGGTTGTCATAAAATTATGTTGGTATATATGCCCCGAAGTATGATAAAAATTTTAGCTGTTTTCATTGTTTACTTTGTCTGTGGCAGCCGCTAAGGTTAGACGTGTTTTATGAGCTCGCCGATTTTTCTTTCGTTAAAAGAAATGGATCAAAGAATTTCTATCCAATTTTGCTTAAAAAATGAAATAAATTCAGTGAAATGTTAACAAAGGCCTATAGTGAGTCTGCTATAAGTAAAACAAGAGTTTACAAGTGGTATAAGAGTTTCCAAGATGGCCGTGAAGACGTTGAAGATGACGAACGCCCCGAACGCACAAGCACATTAACAACCGATAAAAACATGGAAAAAGTGGAAGAAATGGTTATAAACCTTTAGAGAAGTCGCTGATGATGTTGGTATATCGATTGGCTCATCCCATGAAATTTTTTCAAATGTTTTGGGTATGAAACGCATGGCAGCAAAATTTGTTCTAAAATTGTTAAATTTTGAACATTTTTGGCCAAAAACAATACTGTAATGAAGCCCCAGCCTCCATATTCGCCAGACATGCCTCTGTCTGACTTCTTTCTATTCCCAAAAATAAAGAGAACCTTAAAGGGCCGTCGTTTTGAAAGCATAGATGACATTAAAAGCGCATCGCTGAAAGAACTAAAGGCTATCCCAAAGATCGAGTTTTAGAAGTGTTTCGAGTATTGGAAGAAGAGCTGGCACATGTGCATAATATCCAATGGGGACTATTTTGAACATTAATGTAGACAAATAAATAAATAATTGTTTCAAAAAACGAAAATTCCCGATATTTTCTGAACACACCTCGTATATGCAACTATAGTTTACGTGTTCAGCCTACTGAAGTCGCACGATTTCCTCTGGATAATACAGGCACCCTCAGGTCTACGAGCATGAAATTCGGCTGTTTCTGATGGTTTGGTCACTAGCTGTTACGTATCTGAATGGTTTCAAGATTTGAAACGCCGAATTTTGATCTCTATTGTTGTTTGATTTGTATAAAATCCACCCAATATTCTGTGTGTTAAAAAATCTAGCTTTAAACAACAATGCAAAGAACATGCATCGTTTCAAATCTCTCCTTTAAAATCAGGTTTTTGGACATGCCCTACTTTGGTTCTGGGGTACAAATATAGTCTTAAGCTTATATCATAGACTTATGTACTTATATAAATGCCAGATTTCTTTAATAAAATAGAAATCACTCAGCCATCTAAAATTGTTTAAAACAATAATTGTTAACTTATAACACTATTTACTGAAAAGTTTATAATATATTAGTATAAATCTCTAGTACCTTTTAAAATGATAAATACTTATTTACGGGGTATAAGTATAACAATTTCACATTTTTAATATTTAGCAACTTCTTATGTAATAATAATAATTTTACAATCATATGGAGAATTTCATGCAAAAAGTTGTTATGTGCAAGATTATGGGTAGTTACGCAAAAATATTATATTTAATGGTAAAGTCATGGATTAGTACATTATTGCAATTTACTTGATACACAAGACCAATGACATCTCAAAAACCATAAAATAGCTATTGCTAAATAAATTTATAAAAATTTATAATTATTTAGTAATAACGAAATCTGTTCAAAAATTTCATAAAAAAAAGGATTATTAAAAACGCATTTAGAAAACTTTTAGTCACGAGCTCAAGTTAGCTTTATTATAAATTGGGAAAAGTGAGGTTAAATCGGTTGACAGTTGACAGATGTCAAATTTTTAACAAATTAAATTGGCTTTAAATTTTTTTTTGTGTTGCAACTCGTTTTTTAAACTTCTCCAGACACTCGTTTTTATTAAACACTCGCTTGCATGCTTCGCTCGTGCCTAATTAAACTCGTAACTAAAATGGCGTTTGTAAAACTTGATTCATAATATACTGTTATCTTCTCCTACATTAAAAAGCTGTGACTTTATGGCGTTTTGGTCACGGGCTGAAGTTAGAAACCGTGGCTTGAAAGCTTTTAAGTCACGGGCTGAAGTTAGCTTTACTATAAATTGAGAAAAAGTGAGGTTAAATTCGTGTGAATGTTGACCGATTTTAAATTTTTAACAAATAAAATTGGCTTTTAATTCTGTTTTGTGTTTGTCGTAGATGAAGTATAGTATGCAAACACACCTTTCTATTAAACACTCGCTCGAAAGCTTCCATCGTGCTTAATTAAACTCGTAACTAAAATGGCGTTTATAAAACTTGATAAATAAAATATTATTAAACTGATTTAGGTCCAGCATGTTGATTTTTGGTTTATTAGAAAAAATATTATTGACTATTTCCCTCGTCTTAATTTCCACCAATCACAAACGCGCAATTTTGAATTACAAATGGTTTCTAGGTGAAAAAACTGTGTGACAGCACCTGTCAGCAGTTTATTCGAGTTTACCCGCAGCAAAACTTGACAGCTGTTGTCACCAAAAATTGCAATTTAATATTTTAATTGTTAACTGTTACTCATGAAATAGTCTTGTCAAGTACCATTCGGGCATCTAATTTTTCCTGTGAAAAAAAATCGAAAAAACACAATGCTAAGTAATATTTTTTAACAAAATGTATTCGTGCAGGTGCAAAAATCCTCCTCTTCGACTCGGATTTTTGTTGCCACCAGCACTCATGCTTTTTGTTAAAATATTACTTAGCAACGTGTTTTTTCGATTCTTTTCGGAAAAATTAAATGCCCTTATGATATTACTTACGATTATTTTGCTTGCTGGTTTAAAAAAAAATTACGTTTTCTAAACTCAAAACTAAAAAATTAAGTAAAAAATACAACAAATATTACTTTGGATGTTACTTTGGACCAAGTACAAAAATCATGCTAAGTATATGAGTACCGCAAATCTCTGAAGTGTAAATAATTATTTATTATTATAATACCTAATAAAGAAAGTTTTTCATTAAATTATTAAGCACTAGGTATAAATTATTTATTTAAGATCATTATGATTTTCAATAACATTTGGTGTTTCCTTACTTAATTCTTGTAGAGTAAAACTCATAAGCATATATTTGTATACAAGTAAAGTTTCTTTTTTAGTTTTTATAATACCCCAACGATATATCATGGCGATAATGGGATTTCTTGCGATTGTAAACGCATATACAATGAGAGTGTCTTTATCCATAGCCATCACAGAAATGGTAGTTCCCAGTAGCAGCAATCAGACTTACGAGGATGACTCGTGTCCTGCTGATCCCAGTGGTTCCCCAGCTGCAGTTACGGTAAAACATAAAACTCGTACACTATAGGTATTTTAACGTGTTTTGTTTTTAGTCAGAATATATCCGACCATATATTGTATTACCCACCTTAAAACGTATATTATTGTATTACCCAACTTAAAACGTTTGAATTTATACAAATTTTACCCAACCAAAAAAAAAATGGTGCTGAAAATTTTTGTTTATAAACATGCTTTAAAAAATCATATTCTATAAACTGTTTGAGTTTTTCTGAAAAAGACATACATTTTACGCCATTTTTTATTATTTTTTTGCTATACCTAATTTATTTTGCTTTAATGCCGAAAATCCCATGGTGAGCCATTTTTTTAATTTTTCGCAATTAAACTTTGTTTTCATAATAAAATTAAATTAAATAAATTAAAAAAAAAATAGAAAAAAAAATGTTGCTCGAAGTTGGGATTTGGGGAATTAAACGCAAAATAAAAGGTTTTTGAAAAAAAAAATAATGAAAAATTAAGAATTGATGTTTTTTTCTCTAAAAATCTGAAAAATGTATGAATATTTTTAAAAAGACGTCTTGATTAGTCAGTTTAAACAAAATATTAAGCGTTTAAAAAAAGTAACAAATTTACGTTTTATGTTTTTAGTGGGGTATTAAATTTCAGTCAAAGTGGTCGATTTGACGTGAAATGAACCATATATTGCAGTTTTATAAAATATTTGGGGGAGTTTTAAGTTTAAAGTATTTCTTAAACTGGTATATTAAAAATAATTATTATTATAATACATTAATTTCAAAATATTTTGAGATTCTCTATTTGGCCCCCCTACGGCCCTGCAAGCAAGGGAAAACAAACTCATTTTGTATATGACTTGATTTAATTTAAATATTTTCAATATTTTCACACAAAACGTTAAATTAATGAATCATGTTAAATATATGTACACAGACCATGAATAGATGATGAGATACCTCTCGTGAAATTATTATTAGGTACTTCAGAATCCACATAATGGCCCGGGGCCCCCCACATGGTACTAGCCGGCCCTGAGCGTTGGATATTTAAAAAAAACTTTTGCGCTGGTTGATTAAAAACTTCGCAAATTCAGCCAGGGGCGAAAGGTGGGGCACATGATTCTCATTGTGAGGTATAACATTATATAATGCTTTTTAGTCAATTTCCAATAATTACACTATGATAGTTTTACACACTTTTTTTTCCTAACATTAAGTACTCCAGCTTAGTTTAACTAATTTTGGGCCGCTGATTTCAAAAATGTCATAAGTTTTTCTCTAGGACGTCTAGGATTTAAAATAATTTCGTAATAAACTACTCTGCTCAATTACCCCAAAATGTAAGTTTTTTGTTGGTATTTTAATTATTTATTAAATTATTTTGCCTTAAATTTATATTGATTGTACTAAAGTAATTGGTATATGGCAAATAGATCATATTTATCTTAACAATATAACATTGTTAACACTAAAACTAAAATTTTAATGTATTTTATGTAAAAAACAACCATTATTTGACATTTTTTGTCGTTTATTTTAATTATTAAATTGAAAGGGCAACAAAGTAACCAAGTTTCAGTATTTTTTTATAAAATTTTATAAAATTTAATGCACTGCCTAATTTTGCTTTTTTCTACCTTAAATTTATTAAATCGTATCAAATATCAAATTGGATTATAGTATTATTCGTCGTACATCTTTTGCTGCAAATTCCAGAAAATGTCTCCTAGCAATGAATCCAACTTCTTTCCTCCGTACCCATAGATATCTACCAATGCTCTAGATTTGCAGTTACTTGGTGAAATCGTTTTCCATGTTCATCAGTTCGGCAAATTTATCAGGAAGAAAATAAAATGAAAATGTTTTTTAAATGACATATTAACGCTAATTATTTGCAAAACGGAAAGCATTTTTTCAATGAATTGGCGCCAATTTTAGGCCCGATATGAACCATGAACATTTTCAATGACAGCTTTAACACTGCCAGTCGACAAGTTCGTCAACTTTGAGAGCATTTTTGAATCTTTCATTAAACGTGGTATATCAGGTCCATTTAATATTCCTGCAAAATTAAAGTAGTAGGTATGTCACAAAATTTTGTAATGAAATATTGCGTTGGTTTTTCTTGGGCGTAAAGGTACCGCAACAAAAACAAAACATATTTACAACGACGACATAAATGTTTGTCTCCTTTCTCTTTCTCTGCCACTTCCATTTCATGTTTTTTTTTCATTTTCGGTTCTTAAAATCACTTTCAAGTAAAAATACAATTTAAATTTTAAATGTCAATAATTAATAGATGCACTTTAGTGTCCTTGAACGATAAAGTAGATAAAGGTGCCTTTATACTTCAATTCGATATTAAATTTTGATAAGACTTATAATAAATAAGATTCGAGATTACATTTTTGGGTACTTTAGGTATGATGTAAATAAAAACATATCAAATAATAGTCAAAGAGTAATGCTTACACCGAAACCCATTTACTTTGTTACATTTTCAATTTAATTAGTAATTAAAAAAACGACACAAATTTTTATAAAAATGATACTTTTTACCAAAAAAACATAATTTTAGTTTTGGTATTTAATACTACTAAAATTTCTTTTTGACATTTATCTACCGATGACTTTGTATGGAGTCCCTGTATATTTTTGACAAAAAACGTCAAAAATATACTGAACATCCAAAATAGATTCAAGGCAAATTAATTTAATAAATAATCAAAATATTAACAAAAAACTTACATTTTGAGATAATTGGGCAGAGCATTTTATTACGCAATAATTTCGAATCCTAGACGTACTGGAGAAAAATGAGTGGCATTTTTGAAATCAGCAGCCCAAAATTAGGTAATATAGGTGGGTTTACTCAATGTTAGTAAATCGAACTATCATAGTGTTATTTAAACTTTTAAATAACAAAAATTTAATTTTATACTAATTATTCTCATGGGCGCCCAAATAAAATTTTCCAGGGGGGCAAACATTACACAGGCCACAAAAAATGTTTGCCGCAGGGTGGCTGATTCAAAAAAATGCTCTTATTTTTGCGATATTATGTAAAACACGTTTTTTCGATGTGCAAAAATTCAAATTCGTAAATTTAATTATAGTGTTTTTAGACAAATACTTTAACTAAGGATCATTGACAAAAAAATATACACATTCATAAAGATATTTCCTTTTAAAAACATGTTTTCAAAAAAAAATATTTTTTAGCCAAAATACAAAGTTACTGTTACAATTTTTGTCCCAGTTTAATCATATTTTTAAAATTTAAACCTTCCGTCTTCTATATTATTTTTTATATTAAAATTTCAACGCAATTAAATAAAAATTGTAAAAATGAAACTTAATTCAACCGCGCGTGTCAATATTGGCATATTGACATTTTTTTAGCAGTGTCTCAAGCTAGAACGTTTTGTTTTTTGTTTTAAAACTAGTATAATAAACCTATTTTTATTTAATTACGTTTAAATTCTAAAACAATAAACCTAAATTCTAAAATTTTTGAATATTTCATTAAAATTAGACAAAAATTGTTAGCTTCAACAGAACTTTAAACTTTGAACATTGAAAAAATTTGGCTAAAAACAATTTTATTTCGTTTAAAACATGATTTTTTAGGGAAAAAACATTACCTTGGTATTTTATTAAAATATATATATTTGGATATACCTATGCGAATTTTAATGTTTGCATATTTAAAAAAACTGTATTTTTACAATAGGATTATTTATTTTATTTAACAATCCAGGCCCGTGCGCAAGTGGTGGTTAAATGTCTAAAAATAAAAAAAAATTATACGTTATACAACTGTTTTGTTACAGAGTTATATTTAATAAATAAATAAATAGTATACAATTAACCCAAAGAAAATCATAACTGTTAAAACAAAACCACTAAAATGAACAATTAAGCACTGCGAACTTCAGAGACATATTATATATGTATATTATCTACGCCAGTGAGATAAGGACTTCTTATCCCACTCATTTTGAGTGAGATAAGAAGTTCATTAACGCACGCGTTTTTCTCTGCTTTTAACCAATCAAATAAAAAAGTCAAAATGTCAAAATGTCAAAATAACCCTAAATTAAGTCTTAGACAAAAATAATTACCGTTTAATTTTTTTCATTTAGAGGCGTAGATAAAAATTTGTACAATATACGTATCCCACTTATATCGTAAATGACTATTATGTTGTGACGTACCCAAAACTTCCGATACCTATAGGTCTGGGACTTCCTGGGTATCTCTTGTGCTTTCTGGGTACTTTTTTAACTTTTGATTTTTTCGGATTCAGCGGACAATTTTACATAGGAATTGACTGATACATAGGGTACATACATTAGGTATATGTTTTCTAGCGCGCATTTGGATAAAAATTCATATTTCTACAATCGTTGAAGTTAGCGACTTAATTTTTTTTTTAAACTTTGTCAATGCTTTGACTACATTTGACTCGATATAAAGAGTGGGCCATGTTTATGTTGAATTATAAAATAGCAATGAGAACAAGAAAAACTGATTTTTTTTCAACGAATTTTGCTTTATTTGATACAATATTTCTTCCGATTAAGTATGGAAAATGATTTTATTTAAGTGGCCACCTCAGCTGGCTCGGCAGTAGCCCATCCTGGAACACCAATTTTTGAGCACTTTATCAAAAGTTTGCTGCTCTATTTAGGCAATTTGAGCTTGAATGTTTTGCTTGTTGACATAACCTCCGATGTAAAAATTGCGCCTTATCCGAAATGATGATTTTTCTTACAAAATTAGGGTCATCGTTCAACTGGTTTAAAGCCCACTCAGCAAAGCGAAAACGTTGTGGATGGTCAACTTGCTTTAACTCCTGAACAAGCTGGACTTTGTACGCAAACATACCGAGGTCTTTGTGCAAAATCATCCTCAGAGTGGTACGGGAAAGGCCCAGTGTCTGCGCCGAGTTGATGTTGACGCGTTCATGCGTACATTTTCGGCCACAGCAGCGATTGCTTCAGGAGTACGTCTAGGACGAGCATGCGAAACATGTTTTATGTCCACCAGCATTCCATTTCTGCGCAATTTTTTGATCAAATTTGTAATACTTTGGTTTGACGGCGCCTCATTTCTTCCAAACGCAATTTTCGTGCCGTCTCTGCGATCACAGTCACATTCAAAGTAAGTTTTGAGTATTTCGAAACGTTGATCCAAATTTATTCGGTGCATATTTTGTAATCGGAAGGTTAAAACTAAACCACTGTCAGCAATTCATGGCGCTTAAGTTGAAAGCTTCATTAATAGCACGTAGTTTAAAATTCAACTTATAGATGGCCCACCCTTTATAAGTACAGAATTTTTCAATCATTCACATAGCTCGCCGCAGGGTAAAGTTTTTTGATGCACGATTTTGATAATTCTATATTGCAATTTTTTTTAATATTTAGAAATTTTTAAAAATTCTCAATTGCTATTAGAAGCGCTCACATTTTAAGTATAAGTGTGCAAAAATTCAGAATTTTATATTGTATTCTAGAATTAATACAACGATTAATGTTACGAATCACCCAACGCTATATGTATGTGAGAAGAATCTTTACTATATTCAAAGATCTGCTATATTTGAGAAGAACGAAATTAAATTATTTTATTTTGTTTTTTTTTATAAAATTTAATTTCCTGCATCACAATTAATAATAATTCTAAATAGACCTATAGGTCTATTTGTTTAACTAAAATATTTATGTAGGACCCGAAATTTGCTAGAGCCTATGGGCCAACAATTAAAAATAGACCTTAATTAGTTGGGTTGGGTTAAAAGTTTCCGGGGGGGGGGGGTAAGTGCCCCCCTTGCCTATATGCATGAACGCCAATTTATATTTAACTTTTTATTTTTTAGAACACTGACAAGCTCTACGATTGGGACGAGCAAACCCAAGGATTAATTTTAGGTTCCTTCTACTGGGGCTACCTGATTACCCATTTGCCTGGCGGTATTATCGCCGAAAAATTTGGCGGTAGATACACTTTAGGATTAGGTATACTGTCGACCGCAATATTCACCATCTTAACACCTATCGTCATTACTAGCACCAATGGCGACTGGAGAGTACTGGTAGCGCTGAGGGTCATTGAAGGTCTTGGCGAGGTAAGAAAATGAATGTGTCTACCTTTTAAGTTTAAATAAAAATTATAAATCAACCATAATTTTGCAAAACATATGTGTGTATAGAACATTACCATTAGGGTGATTCATTTCCGCAAAGTTTTTTTTTTTCGGTGCTCAAGCAAAATATTAATCTACCTATAGAAAAAAAAAATTTCACCAAGGTAGAGCTCTTAATATCAATTTTAAGTACTTGAAGTTTAAATTTAAAGTTTTCCCATTTAAAATGCATGTAAAAAAATGTTTTTTTTTCAAATTCCTAATGCTCGCCCGCTTTTTACAATATTGTGAATCGGTTTTATGGACCTTATAGGGAATTTCACGCTCTTCAAAATTGTCTTTGTGTTTTTTTGTGTAACTCGTAGTGGTTCGCCAGTAGGAGTCATCAAAGTTCAATTTTTTGAATGAACATTTTTTTTGCAATTTTTTTTAACAATTCGCAAAAAATAGTGAAAAAAAAGAGCTGAATCGTAAAAAATAGTCTTTTAAGTAATTGATAAGTAATTGATAAATATTAACCAATTATGCTATTTAAATTAAACTTTCTTATTTACTATCGATATAATTCTCTACAACAATAACTTTTTAAGAGTTATTATGATTTATGACTAAAAATAAATATAAACATAACACATCAATTCATAAAAAAAACAACAAAACTTTAATCAAAACAAATAACAGATTACATTATTAGATAATATATTGCAAATTTAATAAAAATCTCAATAGTCATAAATAAAAAAGTTGATAAATATTAAATTATTTCGACTTTTATACAAAGCAAATTAAGATTTTATTTTATGACGTAACTAACGTGCCCTTAACATGTATACAGATACAATTTATTATTATAATATTGTTGTGCCGCCAATTTTAAATTAAGCGGCACGGCAGTGATGTCGTTTTTTATCTATTACGTCACTAGCGTGCCCGTAAAAAATACTTCGTACTTTGTTCTCGGACTAATCACTAAATACAACAAACAATACATTTTGGGCTTAAGTATAACATAAAGCATCAAACCCGTTTACAAAGACAATAGAGTCGCTAACGTCATACTAATTAACTAGAGCAATCATAAAATTGTAACAGTTGCTTTCCCAATCAAATAATTATCATTATTTTTTTACTTATGTTCGAATATGCCATCAAAATATTATTTAGTGCAATTATTCAAATAGCAATTTCTACTTATACAATATTGAAGCAAATGAAGTTGACAATAAAAACAATTTACTTTTTCGTTAATTTAAGAATTTTGTTAAAAAAATGGAATAACCTTTATTTATATTTATTGCTATATTACGGAAATGTTGAAAAAATGCAGAATCTAAGTTGCAATTGTATATTTGTTGTTTTTTTTATAAATTAATGTGTTTTTTATATTTATTATAAGTCAAAAATCATAATAACTCTGGAAAAGTTATTGTTGTAGAGAATTATATCGATAGTAAATAAGAAAGTTTAATTTAAATAGCATAATTGGTTAATATTTATCAATTACTTACGTTTTAAGATATAAAAATGGCCGTAAATTCATCAAATATTAGTTAAAAGACTATTTTTTACGATTCAGCTCTTTTTTTTCACTATTTTTTGCGAATTGTTAAAAAAAATTGCAAAAAAAATGTTAATTCAAAAAATTGAACTTTGATGACTCCTACTGGCGAACCACTACGAGTTACACAAAAAAACACAAAGACAATTTTGAAGAGCGTGAAATTCCCTATAAGGTCCATAAAACCGATTCACAATATTGTAAAGAGCGGGCGAGCATTAGAAATTTGAAAAAAAAACCATTTTTTTCCATGCATTTTAAATGGGAAAACTTTAAATTTAAACTGCAAGTACTTAAAATTGATATTAAGAGCTCTACCTTGGTGAACATTTTTTTTTCTATAGGTAGATTAATATTTTGCTTGAGCGCCGAGAAAAAAAAAGTTTTTTGCGGAAATGAATCACCCTAATTACCATATTACCAAATAAAGTCGATTAAGATACGTGTTAAGACTTTTTTGAAAATATTGTATTCATAAATTTGTATTTAATTTAGGGTACAACTTACCCAGCCCTTAACGTCCTTCTGGCCAAATGGGTACCATCAAGCGAAAGAGCCAGGCTGGGTACTCTGGTGTACGCTGGCGGACAAATAGGTACCATCGTTAGTAACCTGATAAGTGGAACCCTCATTCACAACACACACGATTGGGCTTCAGTATTTTACCTCTTCGGTGGGCTTGGATTGGTATGGGTTGTACTGTGGCATCTTCTTTGCTATTCTAGCCCAGAAACCCATCCGTTTATATCCGATGAGGAAAAGGAGTTTTTGAGAAAAGAATTAGGTAAAATAATGCATTTTAGGATTTAGAGATTTTAATAATTTTATCAAAATAAAATAATTTGATTAGTTCCCCCTACAATTTTTCGGTCTTTTCAGGAATATTATCCAAATGTAAGGTCGACTTCAGTTCAGAGCTGGGAAAGTTACTTCTGAAAAGTATCTAGTAACTTTTCTAAGATACTTTAAACAAAATAACTTAGTTACCTCGGGTAACTAGATACTTTGAGTTAAAAGTATCTTTAGTTACGAGATACTTTAAATCATTCTGAAACTCCCTAATTTTCCCCAATAAATAAAAATAACTAAGTTAAAGATACTTTCTGTCCAATATAAAAAGTATCTAATATAAAGTATCTAATAGGGTGGGTCAAAAAAATCGACTATTTTTATTTTGACTTCTGCCACTGAAAAATCGGTTTCTGGGCACCTTCAAAACATGCTTAGCAACGATGAGCACTTAACTTTGATGGGAAGATCCGCCTCATTACAGTTTTGCATATTTTTCTTAGTCCCCTACAAAAAAATTCATATCTCATCATTCGTTAATCATACAGCAAAACTCTAAAGGAGTTATTTGTAGAAAATTAAATGTTCTACAAAAAAGATCTCCTATACTTTTTTGATCAATCTAACTATTAAAGAGATATTCAAGGTCAAAGATTAAAGAATTTTAAGAAAGATAACTTTTCTGTTCTGAATTTTGTAACTGTAAAAAATTATCGACAATTGAGATTTTACTTTGTCTATCGGAAATTGAACGCTCTACAATAAAGGTCTCTTAGGATTTATCGATTACTCTAACCAATCAAAAGATATTCGCATTGGAATATCAGTGCACACATCAATTGCAAAAAGAAAGTTTTTAATTTCAAATTTTGTAGAAAAAGAAATATGAGTTACATATTGAATAAGTTACATATTAAATAAATCCGCTAAAATAAATAAACGAACCTAAACCGTGATAAGAGTGAAAGTATAGAAAAAAATTATTGTTAAGCAATTGATTGAAAGCAATACATTATCAAACGAAAGATAAGACATAATTTGAGACATTTCATCAAGATGAACTTAAATTTTATGAATTATCTCAAAATTTATAAATTACACAGATGAATTGGAAAAAATCATTAAAAAACTATGAATAGCAGTATGCACTGACATTCCAATGTGAATATAAATCCTAAGAGACCTTTTTTGTAGAGCGTTCAATTTCCGATAGACATAGTAAAATCTCAATTGTCGATAATTTTTTTTCAGTAAGTTACAAAATTCAGAACAGAAAAGTTATCTTTCTTAAAATTCTTCAATCTTTGATCTTTAATATCTCTTTAATAGTTAGATTGATCAAAAAAGTATAAGAGATCTTTTTTGTAGAACATTTAATTTTCTACAAATAACTTTTTTAGAGTTTTGCTGTATGATTAACGAATGATGAGATATGAATTTTTTGTAGGGGACTAAGAAAAATATGCAAAACTGTAATGAGGCGGATCTTTCCATCAAAGTTAAGAGATCATCGTTGCTAAGCATGTTTTGAAGGTGCCCAGAAACCAGAGCTGGGCCAAGTACAAGTAAAATGTACTTAAGTACCGAGTACAAAGTACTTTGTATAATTCCTGAAGAAGTACAAAGTACCAAGTACTATACAAATTTCAAAGTACTTTAAGTACAGTACTGCAAGTACAGTACTCAGTACTTTATAATTGTATTTTAAGAGTACATGTCAACAAGACAAGACTCGCTGGTACCAAGACTTGGTAATAGTGAAGCTTTGGAAATACCAAAGTTTTGAAACGTAAACGTAAGTTAAGTTATAATTATGTGAAATAAATCATCTTAGAAATATACAAATTCTATTGTTCTTTTATTTTAATCAAATTCGCTTGAACAAATTAAGGTTGTCATTGTCACTGACAATTTATCTGGATGCCAAGCTTCGAAATCAAAATTTTGCGTACTATAATGAACCTCATTAAAGCACACAAAACATTTAAATGGCGTGTTATAATGAAGTCATTATAAACGCAAAATAGATAAATATATAATATAACCACTCAACCCAGATAGCAAAATGCATGAGTGTAGGCAAGCGTGCGGATTGGTACATGCTCTGATCCAAACATTTGTGTTGACACATATTATGTAGGGATCAGAGCATGTACCAATCCGCACGCTAGTCCCTGCATGTATTTTGCTATCTGCGTATAATTAAGTACTTCAAAATTTCAAAAATATAGGCAAAGTGAATTAAAAGTAGGCAATTTAATGAAATATTTATTACAAATAAACAATATGGTTTATTAATTATTATTATTTTTAATAATAAGAGTAAGAGTAACTAACAAATTATTGGTTGACTTTGTTTGCTTTCATGATTACCAGTTTCTCAAAGTTTTCGTCTGTCAGTGCATTGCGCCGAGGACTATTCACAATTGTGTCGCAGACAGGTCTCAACTTGTATAAAGTACTTGTAAAAATGTACTTATATTTTAGTCCCAAGTACTAAGTACTCTTAGCAGAATGTTACAAGTACAAGTACCAAGTACATATACAAAGAAGTACTTAAGTATCAAGTACAAAGTACCCTAAAATGTACTCTAAGTACTTTTTCAAGTACTTGTACTTAAGTACCGCCCAGCTCTGCCAGAAACCGATTTTTTTTAAAGTGGCAGAAGTCAAAATAAAAATAGTCGATTTTTTTCTAGTATCTAAGTTACTTTTAAGTATATTTTTTTAAGATACTCCCAGTTCTGCTTCAGTTAGGTATATAAAATCTCTTTAAATCTGCCAAACCCGTGTTTTAATAGTTTCTTAAAGCATAAATATCTTTTGATTTCGAAATAGGTTCGGTCTCAAACGAAAAACTGGCTACCCCATGGCGCGCCATATTGACATCGGTACCATTATGGGCCTTGGTTGCGGCGCAGATCGGCCACGATTGGGGGTTCTATACCATGGTAACCGACCTGCCGAAGTATATGAAGGACGTGCTAAAATTCGACGTCCAATCCAACGGATTGTGGAACTCCATTCCGTACGTCGTGATGTGGATCGTTTCGATGCTATTCGGATGGGTGTGCGATTGGCTGATAACGAACAAATACCTGGGTGTCACGATGGCGCGTAAACTATTCACAGGAATTGGTAAATATTAGGGGTGTGCGTTTCGTATTTAAATTCGAAAATTTTAACTTTTGGAATAATTTGAACAATTGGAATAATTCGAAGAATTCGAATATCCAAAAAATGTGTATAAAGTGCTTTTTATGTAGATTGAACACAAGTCGAATTTCAATAATAAGTTTAAAACATTTCTATACAGGGTGTCATCTCTGGGAGCAGAGCTGGCCCAAGTAGATGTGAAATGTAAACAAGTACCGAGTACAAAGTACATTGTATAATTGTCGGGAATTTTCGTCTACATTAATGTTGTCGCCTTCAAAATAGTCCCCATTGGATATTATGCACATGTGCATGCTCTTCTTGCAATACTCGAAACACTTCTAAAACTCGATCTTTGGGATAGCCTTTAGTTCTTTCAGCGATGCGCTTTTAGTGTCATCTATGCTTGCAAAACGACGGCCCTTTAAGGTTCTCTTTATTTTTGGGAATAGGAAAAAGTCAGACAGAGGCATATCTGGCGAATATGGAGGCTAGGGCATCATTACAGTATTGTTTTTGGCCAAAAATTTTGTTTAAAATTTAACAATTTTAGAACAAATTTTGCTGCCACGCGTTTCATACCCAAAACATTCAAAAAAATTTCATGGGATGAGCCAATCGATATACCAACATAATCAGCGACTTCTCTGATGGTTTATAACCATTTCCTCCACTTTTTCCATGTTTTTATCGGTTGTTAATGTGCTTGGGCGTTCGGGGCGTTCGTCATCTTCAACAACTTCACGGCCATCTTGGAAACTCTTATACCACTTGTAAACTCTTGTTTTACTTACAGCAGACTCACTATAGGCCTTTGTTAACATTTCACAGAATTTATTTCACTTTTTAAGCAAAATTGGATACAAATTCTTTGATCCATTTCTTTTAACGAACGAAAAATCGCCGAGTTCATAAAACACGTCTAACTTTAGCGGCTGCCACAGACAAAGTAAACAATGAAAACAGCTAAAGTTTTTATCATACAGGGGCATGTATACCAACATAATAAAGAAAATTTTATGACAACCGGATTTTCTGAACCCGCGAAATTTAACAATTTCCGTTATTTTCTGAACACACCTTGTACTAATTGTAAAGTACAGCAATTCAAGTACATGTACTTCTGCAGAACTCAGTACTTTATAATTAAATCGGTGAGATTAAGAACAGTACAAGTCAGTAGCGGATTGTGGATATATCGATATCTCAGTTAGTAGACATTGGATCCACACCAAACTAATATGAGTTTATATTGACATTAAATAGACAAGTTCTGCGCAAGCAGAATTTAAATTTTAGCTAAAAGAATAATAAAAATTTAAAATGGTATAAAATCTGTAATTCTTAGATTTTTTAAATAAAATTTGAAATTTGCCGATAAAATGTAGTGAGTTATGAATTACAACACTTTAATTTGAATATTCTTAATTAGGGGTGGCAGGGGGCTGGTGAGGCGCAAACTTCAATTTAAATTCTTCTTGCGCAGAACTTGTCTATTTAATGTCATTATAAACTCATATAAGTTTGGTGCGGGTCCTATATCTACTATAGTAGTGGATTTTGGGTATACCGATATCTCCGTTATAACGGAGATATCGGTATACCCAAAATCCACAATCCGCCACTGGTCCAAAAGTCCAAAAGTTAATATTTTGACAAATTATTTAATAAAATCAGTTTATAGATTAAATTGCATTTTTGTGTGAATATTTCAACAATTTTATAAAATAATAACCATATTTTGTAAAATAGTTTAGGTATACCTATCTTCTTACAAAAATGCATTTTAAACTTTTAAATTGATTTGTCAAAATTAAAATTTTGGACTTGTACTGTTCTTAATCTCACCGATTCAATTGTATTTCAAGAGTACATGTCAACAAACCAGGACTTACTAGATAGAACTTTTAGGTTTGAATGTAAATACAATAGAAACGATTAAATAGTTTTTTATAATTTTTGTTTATATATGATATATGATATACCGGTATAAACTAATGAAACTTTTTTTAGCATCTATGGGTCCCGCCGTTTTCATAATGGCCGCCTCTTATTCAGGGTGCGATAAATATTTATCAGTAGCTATGTTTACCATCGGGATGGGTTTCATGGGCACTTTTTACTGTGGCATGAAAGTAAATGGTCTAGATTTATCGCCTAACTTTGCTGGTACTATTATGGCTATCAGTAATGGAATAGGAGCCATAACCGGTATAGTGTCCCCTTCCATAGTGGGACATTTAACACCACAGGTAATAATATAATTAAAAAAAGTTTGATATGATGGAACCTGTTATTTTTAATTGTTTCAGCATACCATGACACAATGGAGGACAGTTTTTTGGATTTCATTTGCTGTTTTTTCAGTCACCAGCGTAATTTATACATTCTTCGCTAGCGGTGAAGAACAGTGGTGGAATAACCCAAAAACACACGACAAACAAAATGAAGCGGAGAGCGGAAAGAAGGAAGTTACAACTTGACTTGTTTATGTATATAATATGTGTTTTATAAACAACAAATTAATATTTATTAACTTAAATAAACTATTTTTTATTTAGTCTAAATTTTATTTATTCCTATAATTTAAAGTAAAACATACCAAAAAAGGTTCAGCTAAAAGAATTACAAACCTTAGATAGGCAACCAAAATAGAATTGGAAGAATTGTATAGTGGGTTGCCTATCTATGGTTTCGTACTAGTGGCAGCATATTAACACTTCCAGAAGACTCGCAAATCTTACTTAGACTATAGCCATAAATAAAACATAATGTTGTGTATTAAAAGTATATTAGCAAGTTTATATATAATTTTGTACCATTACACCTGATTGCCTTTTTACTCTTGGAACTGTAAGTAAACGTAAAATTAGTTTAAAAAAATGTATTAGCTAGTATCTTACCCCGCCACATTCACATTCCTCACTTTCATCCGAAGATTCCTCTATGGTCAAGTGTTTAGATGCTTCCTTTTCTCTCTTGGCCTCGTAGGCAATTTCCCAAGCATCCTCTGCACCGTACTCACGTTCCTTAGCCGTCATCTTAACTTCGATATCAGCGATCTTTCTGGTCGTATCGTTCAAGACCGCCTTAAGCTCCGACTCTTTGTTTATGAGACATTGCCGCTTATGGTCGGCCTGGTCGATAGCTTTCGAAGTTTTTTGTCGTTGCTTTCTCAGCGATGTCTTTAGTTCGTTCAGTTTGCCTTCCATTTCACTATTTTCGATTTCTAATCGGGAGAGCTCGGTACTCATCCAGCGGAAACGGTGATATAGGGCTTGCATTTTTATATCGCTCGAATCGTTTTTCTACAATAATACTCTTATTAAGACTGAAAATGCCCGTCGTTCTAATTGTCCTGCTATAACTTGTGTATATTTACTAAAAACTAAAATATTTCATTTGATATCATTGTTGATCTTTCATCATCATTTAAGAAAGAGTTTCCAGTAAACATACAGTTTTCAAGGACACAACTTATAACGACTAGATATTCTTATATTTATTACGATTTCCGGAAATGGTAAAACTTCAGCAAGATATCCTGGTGGGTTAGTGAAAAATTCCTTGAAATCAAATTCGGGGATCATCCTGTAAATCTGGCTGACCATGTCCAAGATTTCGTTGTTGACTGCCGTTTCTTCGTCAGCGTATTTTTTAGCCCTTTGAAGATCCTCATTCATCAATACGTCAGCTGTATCGTCAAGAAGTGGCTTGTACACTTCGTTTTGGAGCCGTTCGAAATGGCTGAGTTCTTCTTCCATTACAACTCTCATGGTTGCACCTTTATAAAATTGTGTAAATGCAATCATTACTGTAATTGTTAAAAGTCACTTTTAGGCAAAATGTACGTTTTTATGAATTTCAAACAATATTTAAAACATTTAGTAAAGCGTCTTAGAGTAACAAAAAGGATTTTTTTATTTAGAAAAAAATATTAAATATTTCTGCTTGTTTTTAAACCCCTAAAACGACAACATTTCTCAGAATAGTGCCATTTTAATAATTTTTCCGACTTCTTTTTTAAATTACAAAAACTCCAAAAACTTGTTCTACCCAATTTTTCCCAAAAAGATAACCAATGAAAGAAAAATGTCGTTTTCTTAAGAACGGATATTGTTTTAAAAAATGTAATAGTTTTTTTTGTATGAATACAATGTATGTCATATACATACACAAAAGCAGTCATCTCCAAATTTTAAAAAAATGGGTTATTTACACCAATACACCATTGATGTTTTAAATTATTATATTATTTTTGTGTTCTATTTGAAATATTTCAATTTGAGACTGTCCACATTTTCTGGGTTTCCTTACCTTCATCTCGGGTATATGGTCCAACAAAAGTAACATACTCCTGCACAGTTGCAGGAACTATATCGCACCTATCAAATTCATCAAGAATTCTTTGAAGTGCTTCATTATCATCTTCATCAGGTGGTGGGGCGACTTTTCTTACCATTCGCGAAATATGATAGTCATAGTATGCAGTATCTATAGAAAATATCATGTTAAGAAATAATTTAGAGGATGTATCCGACCATGGTAAAGGTTTAATCAATTTGTAGGAATGGTAGGGCAGGGACTTTACTGCGTTATAACGATCACTGACGCACCTAAATACCTATCTAAAGATAGTATACTTATTTGAAAATGTGTACATCATCATGAATCATGATTGTACAAATTTTCAAAGTACATATAAGTTAATAAAATATCTAGGTTTAGAGGTGCGTCAGTAAAGTCCCGGCCCTGGTAATAACAAATAACCTAATTGCAAAAAATTTTACAAGCATTTGCTAGAACGAAAATATGTCCGGAAAATAATACCTGGCACAATGGGCGGCACAAGACTTGGTTTTTCACATCGATCTTCCATAGTTTGATTATTCATAGTTTAACTAAGAATTTTACAAATTTGACTTTATTTGACAAATAAAACAAATTGTATGACAACTGGGTAACATTTTTTAACAACAGGGACAGCACGGAGCAAATTTCATTGCAAACATCACCGCCATTGTCAATACGCATACTGTTATACTAATATAAAGACAAGCCATTTTAGTTCTTTAATTTTACGAAAAATTTTGTAACTTACATTTAAAGTGTCAACTATGACATTTCGTGATTTGACGATGTATGTTTACTTAATTAATTAATTAATAATAATATTGCTGTCACAGCTGTAAAAAATTTAACAATTATTGTTAAAATAGTCATTTTCATGTTTTAAATTTAAAAACAGTTTAGAGTGTTCACCTAATTGTTATTTTATTTAAAAATAAAAAATATGTATACAAGGTTTAATTTATTGATTATTTTGCGATTCTTCCTGATTAATATTCTGAAAAGCAGAAACAACATAATACAACAAAGGTATTTTTACTGTTTTTTCATCATCCATTACACTTAATTTTGTAGTTAATATATCCCTAGTAAGTCTTTCATTAGTTTGACCGGATTCTGCAAAAAAAAAACACTTGGGTACAACATATTTTTATCACTTTGTATAAAATTACCTGCTGATAAAATTTGTTCAGCATAAACATAACCATTCCAAGACAAATACTCTCTAATTAATTCATTTATTAGTCGTGTTTCTTCAGGTACTTCAGGAAGGGCGAAATTTGAAGAGTTTTTGTTTAAAATTGACATTACGGCTGCTCGTATTTCGCCCTTTAATTTCCCCAGTCTTCCATCATTTTCCAGGGAAAATTTTATAGCTAAAATAGGTATATTTTTTGTTAAATTTATAATGGTTTACGTTAATAACTTACCTTTTAACAAAGAAGCTTCAGAAACTTCGCTCATATTTTCGTTTGAAAAACTATTGTATAAAATGACATCTGTTTGATCTATGATGCATGACACTGTCGCTAGGGAACGCACTACAAACAAAGTTGCACCTGCATGTCGTGCCTGTGCCAAAACACCTGTAGAATGTAGAAAATAATATGCAACTTTAAAAACTACTAGGTAGGAACCGTAAACACGGGTGACTTTGCACCCCGCGGGTGACTTTACCCCATTTATGAAAAATCTTTTCGCGCTCGATAAAATTAACATTTATAATTTGTTGGTATAAACCTGTCAATTGAGCGATTCTATTGAGTTTTTTTACAGGAAAATCAGTGTTTTAAAGAAAGAAATGGGTGTTATTACACTTTAAAATTGTATATATCGCATCAGTGCAAAACTCTTAGAAATACACGCGTTACAATTTCTATATTATGCGCAATCCATTGGAATGATGATCCTTGGTTAACTACAGGTCGATTTTTTTTTATTGGTAATCCCTTGCAATAGATATATGTCGCTGCTAACACGTGTCTAATAAAAATAAAATATAATATTGAATTCATTTTATACGGAAAATACACTGTGAGACAAAGTAACCCGCAACCAGGGGGTAACTTTGCACACCCAGTTTTTAATTTTAATTTTTGAAACCCAGCCCTATCTAATAATATAACATAGTTATTATGAAAGAGCAACTCAAATTTTGGTATACAAAATTTAATGTTTATGATTGTTAAAACCACAAACATTTTAAGCTTAAGTTTGAAAGTGAGCCAAAGCCACCCGTGTTTACGGTACCTACATAGTATATTTTTAACAGAATATGTACTTAACTGTTTTTAAGTTTTTATAAAAGTCGAGTACAGATTATTAATTATTTATAATAATTTTATATATTTTGTTTGTTCAAGCAGCAATAGTGAATAAGTTATTAAGTTATGGCACCTCATATTCTCTAAAATACTGCTACACGTGAAAAATACGTTATAAAAATAATTTTTATCTACACATATGTGTTAAATTCTTTTAATTTTTCACATTTTAATTTTTTTGTATTATAATTGCACATGTGAATGCATTAACATACAAAAAAATTAAAATGTGAATTAGGGGCCGTCCATAAATGATGTCACACGTTTTTTTTTAATATTTTTGACCCCCCCTCCCCGTCTTGTCACAAAGTTTCACAAATTATGGGACCCCCCCTCAACATTGGCGTCACGTCACACTGATTTAATTTTTATGTAAGGTCTACCCCACGAAATTTTTGCTTAAAATAAAATAAAATATTTTTATAATTTTGTGACATCACAACCTACTCCCCTAAGTGTGTGACATCATTTATGGACGGCCCCTTATTAAAACAATTTAACATCCCATGATATACAAGGTGTCCCTGAAATGCGTGTACAAAATTATACCACATATTCCTTAGGCCGAAATAATGCGATATTACTAAATTTACTTTTACACAAAAGTTGATATTAACCAAGATACAGGGTGTGAAAGTTGAAAGTTCGTTTTCAATTTTAATTTTAATTATTACATAACTTTTGAAAAAAACAAACGTTTTAGCACAAAATTTAATTTTAGGGGGTTTTTCAGGCCAGGATAATAAAACTTCTTAAAAAAAATTAATGTAGGTTGTAGAGGGCGCTGTCTGCGACACTTTCCATACGTGAAATTGTCAAATATTTTTAGCGCCTTGGTAATAAGGATAAAACAAGAAATATTTTTATTAAAATGTAAATAAACTAAGGCGCAAAAAATATGCGACCATTTTAAACTTATGCAGTTTCGCACACAGCGCCCTCTACAAATTACTTTTTTTAATTAACTTTTTCTGTCCTAAAAACCCAGAAAATCAAATTGTATGAAAAATATTTGTTTAAAATTAACATTACGGCTGCTCATATTTCGCCTTTTAATTTCCCCAGTCTTCCACCATTTTCCAGGGAAAATTTAATGGCTAAAATACATTTTTTGTTAAATATATAATACTTTACCGTAATAAAGTTGAGTGAATCAATGGTAATAACTTACCTTTAAACAAAGCTGCTTCAGAAACTTCGCTTATATTTTCGTTTGAAAAGATATTGAATAAAATGACATCTCTTTGATCTATGGTGCATCACACTGTTGCTAGGGAACGCATTACAAACAGTGTTGTACCTCACTGTGCCAAAACACCTGTGGAATGGAGAAAATAATACGCAACTTTAAAAAATACTAGTATATTTTTTAACAACAGAATATGTACTTAAGTGTTTTTTCAGTTTTTATAAAAGTCGTGAACAGATTATTGTATATTTACAAATAATTTTATATATTTTGTTTGTTCAAGCAGCAATCGTGACCAAGTTATTAAGTTATGGCACCTCTGTATCTCTAAAATACTGCTACACGTGAAAAATACGATATAAAAATAATTTTTATCTACACATTCACAATTATAATACAAAAAAATTAAAACGTGAAAAATTAAAAGAATTTAACATACCATGATATACAAGGTGTCCCTGAAATGCCTGTACTAAAGGATACCACATATTCCTGAGACCAAAATAATGTGACTTCTATATAAAGTTGATAATAACCAAGATACAGGGTGTCAAAATTAAGTTCGTTTTTAATGTTATTAAATACTTTGGAAAACACAAACGTTTTGCACAAAATTTCATATTTGGGGGTTTTAAAAAAAATCAAATAAAACAGTTTAAGGGTGTGTTCATTTCGAGGATAATTCTATTGTAAGTTTTGGGTAAACAATTTACAATATATTTATACTTAAATTGAATATACCTGAAAATTTTTCATTTAATTTTTTAACTTTAAATGCAAATATCTCAGAATCATTTAAAGTTTACTTAGACCCCCTTTATTTAGAATTCATATTATGCAACCTTCTTTTAATGTTCCCAATTTGAATTAAAGTAAACAGTTATTGAAGATAACCCAGAGTCAGTTCTAAACTTAAACAATAAACAAATTAAGTAAACAAATATTCACAAATGCTTATTTTTATGTAATTTATACAGGGGCCAAAAATTGTCCAACCTGTATGAGAAATGAGGTATATGAAACTAAACTACTATAGATGGACTTTTGCACATTTCGCAGGTACCTAAATAACAAGGTATTCTTTTAAGGTTGGAAGAATTTTAAGAACTGTGCAAAACTCCTTTGGAGAATAAAGCGTCAATAATTTTATTTAAACCATAAATAATTTTAACGCTTTATAGGCTGCTCTAGTAAAATTTTCGATAAAAAACTGGAAGAATTTAATTTTATCTTCATCATATAAAAAAGGCACTTTTTTATTACATGCACCTAATTTTCGTCATTTCTATATTATTGCCTTCTAGTTTTTTTAATCGTTTCTTAAAATTACGAATAAATAATTATAATTGTTTATTTTTGTAAATTCTAAAAACTAGATTTTACTTTACAAAAAATAGTAAAAACACAAAACTATCATAGTTTAGACTTTTTTTATTTAAATATATTTTGAAGAATACTCTAAAATTAATTTCTATTTTACATCAAAAATAATTTTTGTAATAAATAAAGAATTTAGAGTGTTCTACAAAATATTGGAAAACATCCTGTACATTTTTAATAGCAAATAATAATATTATTAAAGTTTGTTTTGGAAAAATAATTTGCAAAAAAGTTTTAAGTACATTTTTATTTTCTTGGAAGATTTCATAGTAAATAGGTTGCTTTAGATTTTAAAAATAATTTGTATATACATAAGTATAAAAATATTTTTAAAATCGCACAATCGTAAAAACGTTTTTTGCACTCAAAATATTTTAGAGTAAGCATTGGCAGTAAACATAACTAAAAAACTTAAAATGTCACATTAAAGTCAAAACTAAATATAGTCTAATTGTAGGACCTTTCTTGTGGCCATATTAATTAACAACAAAAAATAAATTATTCTTTTTTATATTAAATATGTATTGTATAATATTAAATTAAATTTAAAATAATAGACTTTGTAGATTCAATTATTTTCAGTCTAATGGCTTTACTTCCAGTAACCAAAATATTGCCTTGCATGCTAAAAACCAGCAAGTAAAAATGTCGAAATTTTTACCAATCGTCATTTAGCTCAGTAAGGTAATATAGCTCTTTAAGAGCACACCAAGTATAAATTAAAGACGTAAGTGGATAAAGGGGTTGTTACATTTTTAATGATAAAGGACCTTTATTATTAAAATGTAACCACCTTTATCCACTCATGATTTTAATTTAATCCAAAGGCTTGACTTGGGCCATAACTTTACCCTCCCACAATGGGAGAATATCCCCATCGTTGGTTACTTCCTCGTGAATAACCTGGAACTCCTCGCAAACCGTTTTAAAAAAGAACCTGAAAATTAAACGTGGTTTAGAATATTATGTCATAGTTATTTGCCAGTTCTTAAAAATGCTACTGCTACCTAAGAATATTAAGTTGAATTGAATTATATGTTGTAACAACAATGTAAGTGCCATGGTAAAATATGGCACACCATTTCACTTTTTAATCGTAAATGTTTTAAATGTAAAAGAAAATTGAAGTAGGTTTAAAATTATGGAATATATAATTTTTTATAATTTTAATTATGTCTGACATAATAATAATGAAATAAAATTATTTCAAGGAGAAATTTAATTCAAATTTAATGTAAACAGATAGAAAAAATAGCGAATTATTATTATGTATAGGCATAATAATAATAATTTTTTATTATACAATTTAATTTTATAAGCATTATTTTGTTAGTTGAATAAATATTTGCTTCATTTAAATTTGGTCCATTTTTATAGTTCTTTATTTTTTTACTTTATAACACGAAAATCATTTTTATTTTACAAATAAATTTTGTACAAATCAAACGAACAGTAAAGAAGATACATCGCTTCAAAGTCGGTAAAAATGACCCCTTTTTGATTATTTTGCTGAAAAGTGGTAATTTTTGACGACTTTGAAGCGCTGTATTTTTGTTACTGTTTGTTTGACTTGTACAACATTTTTAGGGTATATTATCCAAAATTTTATAAAGATTAATAAAGGCGTTTTAGAGTTTTTTATAGGCGCAGTGTATATATAGTCATAATTTTAATTACAAAATAAAAATTCAGTGCATGAATTTTTTGTGTACCTACACATAAAATTAATTATGGCAGGCCTTTTTACTTTTTAATTTTAAAAGAAATATTAAGTTAAATATTAATGTGTCACAAAATATTGCACACAGAAAAATAATTTTTTTTTTTATAATTATTACATTAACTAAATAATTCAACATCTTATATAATAGTAAAGAAATATTAAGTTAAATATTAATGTGTCACAAAATATTGCACACAGAAAAATATTTTTTTTTTTTTATAATTATTACATTAACTAAATAATTCAACATCTTATATAATAGTATATTAGGTATCAAGTTTGATAAACGCCATTTTACACACGTTTAAGTACGAGAGAGCTTGCGAGCGAGTTCAAAATTAATGAGTGTATAGAAAAGTTTATAAACGAGGTGCATGCTATATTTCTTCTAAGACAAATACTTATTTATTATTATCTTAAACTGATTTAAATCAAATATTTTATAGAGCGCCATCTATGAAACAATAGGGGAATCTGCGTGTCACCGTCAAATATCAAATTTTTATATTTTAAAAACACAGATTATAAAGGTTATAAATCGAAATGTATTTCTTGAAAATGGACAGTTTTTTACAGTGAAAGTAAAGAAAATGTTTTATGAGCACTTTACAGTGGAGTCCGTGCCCGAATTTAAGTTATAGTTTACTGCCGGCGAAATTAAAAGGTCAGTACAATGTTCATATAAATAAACTTTTCAAATATTGGCGTTGAGAAACTATTTAATACTTTTGTATTGAGATAATACAATAATTTTCACATTTAGTATTATTCAGCCCGTGAGTAAAAACCTGTTGCTAACTTCAGCCCGTGACTAAAACGCCGTAAAGCCACAACTTGTCAATGTGTATTTAAAAGGTCACTTAGTGTCATGGAAACATGTACGATAATGGTCGTTTTAAAGGTGGGAGTGGAAAATCATATTTAAATTAAAAGTATTAATATTTAAATTAATATTTCTTATCCGATTTAAAAGTGAAACGGCGTGCCACAGCAAAATTCTTTGTGTTTGTATCTACTGTATTGTTTAATATAAGGCAAAAAAGAGATGAAGCATGTTTTGCGCTTTTGTTTAATGTCTTTTTTAAATTTTTATTTAAAAATAACACGCAACAAAAAGTTTTCTCATGATCATTAAACTTTGTCTTGTTTAATAATTAATAAATAAATGAATTTAATTACCTGTAATTTCCCTTTTTCGGCAAGTACTCCTTGAACTGCCTCAAGGTGACCTGACTCCCTGGTATTTTTGTCCTGTACGGGAACTGCTCGTCGCAGAAGTTAAACACCACGGTGGTCAGGTCTTCGGGTGCGAAGAGCGGCGCGGCCGGTGCCGCCGGCGCCGCCCCTGTCGTTGTCGGCATTTGCAGCTGCTGCTGCAGCTGCTGCTGCGTCGTCGGCCTCGCGCTGCTGCTCGTTCCGCGCAGCGACCTCCTCATCGTCGACTGGCTGCTCGGGGTGGTACCTTCGGGGTAATACCTTCCGGACACCCTACAACAACAAACAATTTTGTGTTTCTTCTAATGTTGTGGATTTTTTTATATAAAATTGTTTGCTTGTCTTGATTAAGGTTGCTGAGTAGGAGATTCAAGTTAGAGCCCTGCACAGTAGGTAGTGCGTGACGAAATTTTATTTTTATCATTGTCACAGGATAATACAAAAACTATCCAAATTTAGTATTATCATTACATTTGGAAACATCGCTGTACACTACATCAGTTCTAATAATTACTTTACTAAAGCATAATTTTTATGTATCCGTTTTTTCAAAAAATCGTCCGACAGGAAATGTTCAAATTTTCATGCATCCGTTTTTTAATGACGTTTAACGGATTGATTTGGCGACAAATAGAAATTAAGGGCCAGTATATTTACTTCACTAAATTTACCTAGTAACTTACAATTATGTCAAAAATTGTAACAGTTATATGTCTAATAAAATGTACAGTTTTGAAAAAGCAGGTCCTTTTGGTTTTGGTTTTAATATTATTTGTCTTAAATTAACTTTGGGCGTCAAAACGGATGTGTAGTGACGGATGAGTTAAAATTATCTGACGTACAAAGTTCAAACTTGACAGACCGATAAAATGTCATAACTTTTGAATTATAATTAGACCAATAAGAGCGCTCCTGGATAATCAGACTAACGGATACATGAAAATTAAGCTTAACACAATAATTTTATTAATGCACTTTCTTGGTTTATGAAGCCCTACACATTACAGATGTAAATTGTATTTACATCTGTTATGTGTACTATATTTACTAAATACAGTCAATAGACTGAGAAGTTGTCAAAATTTACCCATCATATTTTTAGTTTTATATAATGTGTAAAAATAATATTTTTAACCCGCCCGAACTCTTTAAAAGATTAAAATTTAAAACAGAATTATTAAAAAATAAATAAATAAAAAATATGTTTCTAAACAAAAACAATATTATTTTTATTAATTTTAATTACCTATTAAAATTTTGTTTATTTGAAGTTGACAATGTATACTTTATCGACTTGAAAACACACAAAAAAATGGCTTAACAAGCAAAAATGTGTCACCTTGAAATTTCAAGAAAAATACCAACTAGGATTGAGACTGGGATATTTGTATGAAATAGGTTGGTCCAGCTAACAGTAATAAAAACAACTAAAATAAAAATGTTGATATTTTAAATTTCTTGAATTCTTACCTTTGCTTTGGTTTCCTGCTGTCCTCTTCCAAAAGCCTTCTTCTGGCCTCCTCCAGCTGTATTGCGATATTCGGCGATGGAAGAGGAGGCATGTTGGGGTCGGCCACAAAAGGCTGTGCTGGACCTAGCGTGCCAACAACGCTGTTCCTCTCCAAGGAACTCGATCTGGAACCAAAACTGCAACAAAAAAACGAACAATTAGAAAAACTATTACTCAAAGGTATTACATGTAGTTACAATAGTTTTTTTTCATTTTTCCAAAGTGTAATATTTCAAGAGTATTCTGTAAAAATTTTAAATCGATCCCAAAAACTGTAAAAAGTTTATTGTGTACCAAGTCTCCAAAAAATAGAGTTCGCATTTTAAGACAAAAATAACTATTTTTTTTATTTAATGTTGTAATATTTTGATTATTCATATCATAAGGACTTACCCCTTTAAATCTTTATTTATTGTGCGGTTTTAACAGGATTTATTTTAAAGTGTACATCTTGTATTCTGTATTTTTGGAGCAAAAAACGCCATTTTTGTTCAAAATACAACGCCTATTATGTCAGTTTTTAAGAATTCATATTAGGGACTTTTTAAACAAAACATTGAAATAAAATTTAACTTATAGTAATAGTACCATGTTGTGAAATATAGTAATAGTACCATGTTGTGAATCCAGTGCCGTGCTTTTGTTTAAAAAAATCGCTAATATGAATTCTTAAAAATTTACTCTCAAAAATTGACATAATAGGCCTTGTATTTTGTATATGGCGTTTTTTTGCTCCAAAAATACAGAATACAAGATCTACACTTTAAAACAAATCCGGTTAAAATCGCACAATAAATAAAGATTTTACAGAGGTGAGTTGCAAACAAATGGGTAACACTCTATAAGAATTTTAATGTTTGCAATATCTTGAAAACAAGAGCTAATTGATCAAAATGATGGCCATGTTTTGAAAAAGCGCACCTAAATTACCCTAGAAAAGTTGTTGGCCACCAGGTGGCAAAATTGCTGTTGACCAGTGTTATATGTTGTATATGTTATATATATATTAAACTGGGCCAGAAAAATCAACTATTTTTTTTTAAATAATATCGAAAATATTGTTTGGGGTGACAAAAAAAAATTATGGTGAATGTTTGAGTCCATAATATTAATATTAAGAGGTCTATCGTCGCAATTTTAGATTTTTTTTCCTGAGCGAGTTTTTGTCTCAGAACTCCCAAATCATTGAGTTTATCAAAATTGACTTGGGAATATTTTTTGAAGAAAATTGAATGCTCTACAAAAAAGGTTTGATTGGAATTTTCCGTCAGATGAACCCTTTTCTTACAATCATGCCTTAAAAATTGGTACAATTTTACAATTTGATCTTTTAACTTTGGAATTTTGTAATTCAAGTAAAAATCAGTACCCTGAAAAAAAACGATTAATATTCTTATGGGAAATCAAATGCTCTACAAAAAAGTCTTTTATCATTTTTGACTAAATTCACCCCATCAAAAGTTATTCAAGGTTAAATTTGAAGTCAAAACGAAATTTTAACCTTGAATAACTTTTGATTGAGTGAATTTAGCCAACAATGTTAAGACGCTTTTTTGTAAAGCATTTGATTTCCCATAAGAATATTTATCGGATTTTTATGGGTACTGATTTTTACATGAATTACAAAATTCTAATTTAAAAGATCAAAATGTAAAACTATACCAATTTTTAAGGCATGATTTTAAGGAAACGGTTCATCTGACGAAAAATTTCACTTAAACCTTTTTTGTAGAGCATTTAATTTTCTTAAAAAAAATATTTTTAAGTCAATTTTGTTAAACTCTATGGTTTGGGAGTTCTGAGCCTAAAACTTGCTGAGGAAAAAAAAATTAAAATTGGGATGATAGACCTCTTAATAATAATATTATGGACTCAAACTTTCACAATAATTTTTTTTGTCACCCCAAACCATACTTTCGATATACTTTTCAAAAAAAAAAAAATAGTTGATTTTTTTGGGCCAGTCTAATGTATATGTTATATGTTGTATAAGTATTCTAGGTAATTTTTTACCACCACTTTTTAATTCCAATTTTATCTTAAAAATGTGTTTTACCGCCCTTAAAAGTGTCTTAAACGCGATTCTAATGATTTTTGTATTAAAAAAATACATTTTTAGAAGAAGATTCGACCATTTTACAAATAACCAAAATTAAATAAATTTTTTGAATCAAATACATTCACCAGAGACTGTACCTGGCTTAATAATGTTTAGTTTCACTGTAAGAGAGCATGTTAAATAGAGTTAACAATTTGAACAAAAAAACACAAAAATTACACTTACCCTTTTCTGTGTCTGCTGGAACTAGGCGACGTGGCACTGCTCGCCCTGTGGCTCTTGTGTTTCGGCGACATCTCGCTGTAAGTGCACCTTCCGCTTTTATCGGACTCCATCAGCCAAGCCAGCACCCTGTTGTCTTTAGGCGGAGGCATGTTGAGCGCAGGCGGAGTGTCCGACACCACAGAAACCCCGCTGTCCGTGAAATCAGTGAGCGTTTTCTTCGAGGAAGACCTAAAAGGAATTATTATTAGATCTGCTATAATTTAAAAATAACTTAATCATTACCTTCTGCATGCGCTGTTGTTTCTGCCAAATCTCTCTTCCGCATACTCGGGCATGCTTTTGGACTTCACCATCGACATCTTATGTTCCAAAGACTCCGCGTAGTCGTGGACGTTTCCAGAATCGCTGCTGAACGTCGAAAAACCGTCCTTGTCTCTTCTACGGCTCGTCCTGGGGTAGACTTGCCTTTTACTACGCGGTGGCGACATTGCCCTGCAAAATTAAAAAAAAATAAGTAAGAAAATGTTGTTCTTGAGGTGTAATGGGGTTTTAAAATTTCCGGCAAAATTGAGTCGGCGGAAAATCTGTAAAATTTTCAGATAAATTAACTTTTGCGTTTTTTTTATTTTATTCAAAAAGTAATACAAAAAAATGCAAGTCAATTTTTCTGAAAATGTCCAAATGTTTAAGGATAATATCCGTACACTGATTATCAGTGACATATCAAGATATCAAGACGCTGATTATAACAAGTAAAAAAAAATCCAACTCTAAAACGCCTTTACCAATCTTTATAAAATATAAAATTTGGGATTAAAATATCCTTAAAGCCCTTTTATTTAATAATAAAAAACGCTCGAAAAAAACTTTTATAGGGAATTTTTTTTAAGTGAATAAAAAATATCCTGTGAAAGACCGTATTTTTGTTAGTAAACCCTGAAAATGTTGTACAAATCAAACGAACAGTAACGAAAAACACCGCTTCAAAGTCGTAAAAAATCACCATTTTCAGCAAAATATTGAAAAAGGGGTAATTTTTACCGACTTTGAAGCGCTCTGTATCTTTGTTAATGTTCGTTTAATTTCTACAAAATTTTTAGGATATACTAAAAAATACAGTCTTTAACACCATATTTTTAGAACGTTTTTTTTATTATTTAAATAAAGGGCTTTAAAAATATTTTTTTGAAAAACACGTAAACTGAGATATAATTTGAAGTATTTTTATACAAATTTTCATAAAGATTGGTAAAGGCGATTTAAGCTTAATTTTCATGTATGCGTTTGTCCGTTATCCGTTTTTCAATAAAATCGTCCGACAAGAAATGTTCTAATTTTTATGCATCCGTTTTTAATGACGTTTAACGGATTGATTTGGCGACAAATAGAAATTAAGGGACAGTATATTCACTTTACTAAATTTACCTAATGCTTAATTGAGGAGCATCCGTGCAAAACCAGCTAAATCCATTTTATTCGGTTTTTGTTTTTTTTCTGATTTCGCATCTTTGGGTTCATTTCTATCGACAACCAAGATAATTCTGTTTAAATCCGGCTATATCCATGTTAAAATCACATTTAAAAGGTAGCTTTAGGAGCAAAACCGGCCAAATCCACGTTTTTATAGCAAACCCGGCTATATCCAAAAAATAATAATGAGCATGTGGCTTGGATATGTTGATACTACTACTAAAATTTGTTCTGTTTTTTCATGTTTGCACTAAATTTATTTTGTTAATATTTTTGAATAATTAAGGTTTTTTTCATATTTTATTCGGTTTTTGAGCAAAACCGGCTATATACAAAACATTTTTTGAAATTTTGGCCTTAATATAAAGTTTTTGAAAACGAAAGTATGTCTTATACATCAAGTACCACAAAGCCCACAAAACTAAAGTTTGCTTTTTCTTTTATCTGTAAAGGCCAGGAGTTTTTGCCATTTTCCCAACATTTTATTAAAGTGGATATAGCCGGTTTTGCAAGGATGCTCCTCAATTGTCTTAGTTACAATTATGTCAACAATTGTAACTTTAACAGTTAGCTGTCTAATAAATTTAAAGGTAGGTAAATATACCTTATAAAAAGAATATACTAACCCTAATATACATTAAAATGTATAGTTTTAAAAAAGCAGGTCCTTTTAGTTCTAGTTTTTCCGTTATTCTTATTAAATAAAAACTTAACAGTAAAACATTTTTCACATAACGAACGTAATATTTCTGTTTTACAATCTTATTAAAAAAAATAAAAGGTTTGTAAATAAATTATCTTAAAATAACGTTAGGCGTCAAAAACAGATGGGTAGTGACGGATGAGTTAAAATTATTTTAAATTTCTCCGTCAGACGTACGAAGTTAAAACTTGAAGGACCGATAAAATGTCATAATTTTCGAAGCTTTATAGCTTTTACTTATTATGCTTTAATTTTTATATAAATAATTCCTTTTATTTTACTTTACATTTTTTTATTTTCTTAAATCAAATTAATTCAATTCAATTCAATTTAGGAAATAAGGATTTTTTAAATTAAAAAAATGTAAAGATGTTGTTTGCTACATTTTTTAAAATGTGTATATTTTCCCAAAAAAAGACAATATTTTCCAAGGCCTGGAAAAACGGAAAAACAGGTTGTTTCCCCAATTTTTTACATTACATTAAAACTCTGGTTGCAATAAAAAAAAGAAAATACCTTGTGGGGCTCTGCACGCCAGGCGAGCGCGCCGGCGTCAAGTCCGAGAACACTCTGGACACGTGCTGATCCAGAATATCCTGATCGTTGTCGTCCTCGAGCTGCAGCATGCGAATCTTGTCGATCGACGTCATGCTCTCGCTCTCTTTCAGCTTCTTCTCCAGCAGCTCCTTGGTGTCGCGCTCGCGCTTGACGACGTCGAGTTTCTGCGTCAGTATCGCCGCGAACTGCTCGGGCTGCATCGGCTGCAGCTTGTTCGAGTCCATGCGCTGCGTGCGCGGTATCAACGTCTGGTTCATGAAGGTTTCGCGGTTCATCGCGGCGGATTCGCGCGCGTGCCTGCGTTCCAGCACCGCTTGTCGTTTCGACGGTCTACCCAACGATCTGCCATCGCTACAGTAATATAATTGATAAATATTTATGCGTACAATCGAAGCGCAAGACCTGACAAACATTTTAGCATTAATAACCTTTTTATGGATTAACTAGAATTACAGTGAAACTTCCCTAAATGAAGTTCGATTTTTTTATGGACACTGATGTTTTGTTTCATTTATATGTATTTTTATCTGTCTAAGAGCCTGTTTTTCAATCAGAATATTGATTTAAAAACCGTGCTAACCATGGTAAGTGCTTAGTAATAATTTTTCCCGAAAAAAACAATAACAAAACAAGGTTTTAAGTCTTTTGGGTTAAAAATATTTGTCAATTCCTTTTTTTTAGACTTTTATTATTACATGAGAAGAAAATTAGGTAAGATTTAAACAGGTTTTAATTATTCTAAAATTGGTTTTTGACATCTTAAAATGAAATTTTCGTTTTATTTTTTTGGAAATTTACGATAATTGTAATCATAGATAACAACGCCTTTTGTAATTATTGTAATTATTAGTACCTGACAGTTGGTATCGCATTTTTTGTTGCGCCGCGCATTTGTTGTCGCCGTAAGCAGCAAGGGCAGCGCACGCGTCCACACAGTGCATTTTATAAAATGTTCACTGCAATGGTAAGGTAAAGGGTGATTTTTTAAGTGTGTCCGAACTTCTGACAAGTGTCGCTGTCAAATAAACTGTCAATTTTCATGTATCTAGAAACTAAGTTACTCAGTATAGTATGACAAATCATCATGGAACGTTTAACGCTTACAAATTGTCGAAATTTACCATCAAAACCATTTTTTGTGCGCCAAACTTATCATGCTCTTCGTGAATTTTATGGTATACATACGTCCAATCCAGTGATGTATTCGCCGAAACATCAACAAATTTAGAAAGAATTTCACGCTTTTAGATATTTAAATAAAGACAAGAACAAAAACAGTGCGTTTGTGATAAGAAAGACCCAAATTTGTCAATTCGTCGACTTTCGCAGAAAGTTGGGCTTTGTTATTGGACTACGTGGGAAATTTTGCGGAAATATCTTTATTTTCTTTGGGGTAATGTTTAACCTTTGGTATATTTAAATAAACCAGCAACTATTTAAGACTTGGAAGCTAACATAACTCGGACAATTGCGTAAATAAGACCTAAATTGCTTGATAAAGTGGTCGGAAATTGGATTAATAGAATTCGCTTTGTTACAAGTAGCCGCGGAGGACATTTGTCCGAAATTATTTTTAAACAATAATGTCATTGAATGTTATTTCATAAAAAAAAATATTTTTAAGATATTTAATTTGATTGTTTTTTAATTTGAATTTAAAGTTCGGACACTCTAAAAAAATCACCCTTTATAAATAATTTGAAATGTTTAAATAGTTTTTATTAAAAATCACGTTTTTTTGCAAATATTTTTCGAAAAAGTGTTATCATTTATTCTTTTAAATGTTGTAACATTTTTAGGTACTAAAAATTTAAAGTATTTTTTTGTTTAGTTGTTACCTACTGCTTTTTACAATTATCGTTACTTTCCAAAAAATCAATACGAACACATTTGACAATTTTGTCCCATCGTCGATAATTTTAAATTAAATTTAATGAATTTAATAAAAGACCTATTATTATGATTGATTATTTTATGTTTGTCAAGTCTACAAATCTTTTAAAAATTTATATACAGAGTGTCACGATCTGCATCTATTCTAAAGAAAAAAACTAGTTTGTTTAATAAACATGTATCGAAAAATACCCTCTGACGGAGTAACGGCCCCCCAAAGAAAGGAATAAAAAAATATTTTTTTAAGTATTTCTAAATGGTTGTACTTAAGGCAGGTTTATCAATCTCTTGTTAAGTAGCAGTTAAATAAATTAATTTTTAATTTTTTGGTAATTCAGATATAAAATCAAAACTGTCAAAATTAAATCATAGGCGTAAAATTTGGGGGTTATGGGGCAAAGACAGCCCCAATTTTTTTTAGCAATATTTAATTTTTTCCCTAAAATTATGAAAATATAGACTTCTCCCCAAAAAGGTTCTTCTGATTTGCATCGCTCAGATGCACTATTTTTGGGTAAAATGCATTCATAAATTACTTTGTTTAGCCTACCCCCCAAACAAAGTAAATGGGTAGTTTTTTTCGACACTTGTTTTTAAGCAAATTCGTGTTGTTTTCCTATGCATATGGGACTGTTTAAGTTGGGCCCCTTAATTTTTGGAAACCCTGTATATTGGTTGTTAACTGAAGCATTGTTATTCCTAACTACAACTACTAATTTTTAAACTACTAAACTACATGCAATAAATTCAAAGAAATCTAATCATGCCACTATACCTTTTTGAAAAACAGCTACACCAATGTTATTCATTTCATTTCTTACAGGAAATATTAGTAAATTTATTATATATATATATATATATATATAAGCGTATCTAAACTTGCTGATTATTAATTTTTACGACTGATTCGCTGTTATTCCTCAGTTATCAGTATGTTGTATTCACTTCTTAGGAAAATAAGTTCTTGCTTCAGCAGCAACTATATAGAAATATTGTAAAAAATAAATTGTATACATTTTTATATTAAATCTGCAATTCCAGACCCTTGAAATGTAAATAAAGAAATCATGAAAATATTCTTAAAATCCAAAAAGTAATGTCATCTTGTGATACTTTTATAAAGTTTTTGAAAAAGATGAATACAACATACAAATATACAAATTTTAGAAGAATTATGTTGTTATTATTGTTAATTCCCTTTTTGTTTGCCATTTATTTATGGGAACAATTTAAATGAGCAATATTTGTAACAGAATGTTTTGTGTAATCAACACTGTGGGACAAATTTGGGGTGATCAATTTTAAACTAGATTTCACTGATTTTCCCTCAGAGAATACCTACCTATTTAATAATAAAACCCCTTACTAGTTTGAAGTTTGAAGTTTTGAAAGTTTTGCATCATGCAAAATTTATTGTAAATTGATATCGTCAAATTTCGCTCACAAATTGTTTCTTATATTACAGAGTTTATGCTTCTCGTTCCGACTCTTTGTAAAAAGGTTTTTTTATTTCAGCATAATTTATATTATATTAAAAAATTGACTTTTTTAATATATTTTTTTTAAATTTAAGACCATAAAAAAATTAATTTTAGCCCTAGAAAATAAATTAATTTTTTGTAAAAAAAATTGTGTTTAATTTTTTTTTTCCATTTTTGACTTAAAGTCGCTATAACTTGCCCTATTAAACGTCAATATTTTTATTATATTTTTTTAATTTTCCGAGTAAAAATGTTAATTTGATAAAATTTTGTTGTTTTTTTTATAACCTAGTACCAGGAATATAATTATTTCATGGTTTTATTATGCAGTGTTGGCAAAATCCCTAAACTTGGTACATAAAATCTCAAGAATTTTAGTTTTAACAATAATAAATAAAAGAAAAGTATTGGAAAGGAATGGAAATTATTAATATAATAAATATACAAAATGTTAAGTGAAAGAGTAGCAAGTATTAGCTGAACTTTAAACATCTATATATCTATATAACAAAAGAGTATAAATAAAAATGTTTTTTATTTAAATTACTAAACTAATGAAACAAACAGTACTAATTTTGTATAAATTAAATATGTTATAAAGACAACACGAATAAAACAAAATCTTAAAATTCCGACAGTCGTAAAAAATCCCTAGAACTAGTAAAAAATCACCAAGTTGGCAACACTGTGTATGCTAAGTATAGGTAGGGCCGGCTTACACTTCAAACCAATTTCTGCCAACAAAATTTAAATATGAAGTGAATATTAGTAGTAAAAAAAAGTAACACTTGACCCTTAAAACTAAATTTGATTGCAAAAAAATAAATTATTTAATAAAATTTACAAAGAATCAGAATGAAAAACATCAACTACTATGGAGAAAATATTTAATTTTTAAACAAAAACTTCATAAGAACTAGAGCAAACTTTCCCAAACCCAGGGTTTTACTATAAATAGGTATACTTTTAGAAAAAAAAAACAATTTATCTGGTTTAAAATTGTGTGTTGCACTGTGTTATAAGCAAACATAAAAATATTACTTTTTTGAAAAATAATTTGTTTTTTGCTGATCATTTCTTTAAGACAAATTAATGGTTTATTAAAAGAATTGTTAATTTTTGGTTTAAACGTAAAATATCTTATCTTGCTTCAATTTTAGTTAAATATTGCACGTTTAAATGTCACCCATATCTTTTTTCTCGCTATACTTACATCGAACTGTCTGTCAGCGACATGTTGTCGGATTCGGTTCGAGCATCCGAATGACTACTAACCGACTGCATCTCGCTGTCTTGTCTCGACACGGGGTTGTACGAGTTGTAGGCCGCGTGTGCGTTTCCACGACTCAAATGGTACATACTATATGGGTCGATGGGTGAAGGTGAACAAAACAAAAAAAAAAGAAAAAAAAAATCATGAAAAAACAGCCACGGCACGACCGGCGTTTTATACTTGTTTCGTAACAGTGGCGGGCGCGAAAGCGCACCCTGAGGCACACCGAGTACAATTTTTTTTACTAAGCAACAAAACACTGCAAAAGCGTTCAAAGCGAATGGAAAAGCGTTTGAAATTCGTAATTACCTGGCGTATGCTTCGGATTTGGGTCGGAGTTCGACAGCTCGATGTTTTTGGGACATTAAAAGTAGGTCTTTTGTGAGTCGCACGGCGCCGCTGCCTGCTGGGTTGGGCGTTTGGTAGCCCACACTTGCGGTACCTGAAATATTTAGTTAATTAAATTCAAAATACAATATCGTTTATAATATAATAACTGAGTTTCAGTTTTCTGAAGAAGACAGCAACATGGCTGTCGAAACGTCAAACCGAATTACAATGATACGCGGCTTAAAACCCGGAAACCTTTTTACTTCTAACATAAAAAGTAATTAAGTAAGAATATAAATTGTTAATTACTAGTTATAATGGCAAAATTGAGGTTTAAGTTAAACCGTTTAACTGTCATATTTATGTGTTTCTAAAGTTTGCAGCACGAAATTTAAAATGGCAATTTTAAAAAGTGCTAAAAAATTGATTTTGACTCGTTTGCATATTTCCCAGATAATTTCAAAATTTCGTTTACTAACTTGATAAACAAAATAGGATCCTGTTGATAGGTTAAAAATTGATTACGTAAGATTCATAATAAAAAAATGGAATATGAAAACAAATGTAACTTTAAAAAATATTTTCTTGTAATCTGTGCGGTAAAAAAATCTGAAATAATTTGTAAATGCGTCTGATGCCTTACAAAATCATATATTAGGTTTTGAAGACATTCTATGGAATCTCTTCAAATGGAGATACCTACTGTTTTTATTTTTGTAATTTTGGTAATTTTATTAAACAAATCCTTGTTTAATAATTATTGTTGCAAAATGATATTCCTTCCAGCATTAATTAATTACTAAATTAAGAAGTTTTAAATCGTTTTTATAATAAATATCTAAAATTTTTACCTAATTTATATTTTTTCTTACCTGAATTTTGGTTAATTAGGTTAGGTTGGTTCATGACCAGCTCCATGTCTTCGTGTAAGGTTGGCAAGAGATCGGGTGCACTGGCAATGTTTATTTGTTCGTTGCTACTTAACTCGCTGCTGCTTCTACTTGCCGAATTATCGGCAAACTGAAAAGATGCAAAAAAAATATAAAAAACACTGCTTCATAAATTAAATGAGAAGGTATGGTTCAATTGATATCCGAGATATAAGACATTATACAATTGTAAATTTCCCAAACAAATAACATTTTTAACTTCTTTTTAGGAAATAAAAGGTTTTTTACATGTTAAAATTTAACCGTTTCACAGCGGTACTTACTTGGACGTATCTAAGGTACAATTCGCTTTTGAGGAAGTTCGGGTATGTGGTGGCGTTGATTTGGGCTTCGACGCAGGCCTGCGCCCTGTCGAACAGCGTCACCGGCGGTTCAAGGCACTGAGAGGACTTCAGGTTTTTGCTGATCTCCTTGCGAAGTTCCTCGTTTATCGGCAGCGCCGACTTTACGAAGAACTTTTTGTAAATCACCTACAAAAGAAAATTAGGATATCATATATCATCATAATTTGATGATATTAATAATAGATAAAATCATGTTATCATCATTTTATATTTAATATAAAAATACATAGTAGCTTCTTCAGAATTATACTGAAGAAGCTACCGTGTAGTGAAACAATTGCTAATTTTATAAAAAAAATCATGATTAAAATAGTGTTGTTTTTATTTATATATTAATAATATGGAGTTTTATCAAGTAAAGGTCGAAACAATCAACAATTGTAGAAAAGGTTAAAAAATCTAGTACCTACAATATTTCAAGAGTATTCTGTAAAAATTTGAACTCATTAAAACTGTACGTAATTTTTACTTTTTCTTAAAAATTCTTGAAATAATTAAAAATTGATAATAAGACAAATTGTGCAAAAAATCAAAAAGCATGAGATTTAAAAATTTTGTGTGTTTCTGCAGTCTATAAAAATTTTAATTTAAGAAACTGGGGCATTCCACAATACTCGGGAATTTTTGTCCCGCCAGTAAAAACCACACAATATTAAATTTATTTTATAATATTTTTTATTATGCTTGTTATAAGCTTATAAGCATATTATAAAATATTAATTTTATAACGTGTGGTTTTTACTCACAATGTTAATTGTGTCTGGCGGAACAAATACTCCCGAGTAACGTGGAATGCCCCAACTCTAGAAAATATCAAACAATGTTTATATAAAGGTAAGAAAAATAAAATAACAAAATTTGTAAAAAAAAATAAGGAAAATATTATTATAAAGAAGGCATTACATTTATATAAAAATAAGAAGCCCAAAACTGCATTTTTTTACTTCCGAAACTGAAAAATTGGTTCTTAGTCACCTTTGGAAAGTGCTCAAAAACTATTATAATTTTTTGTATTATTATACTATTGAATTCGTATAAAATTCCCTGACTTTTCCAGGTTTTCCAGAACTTTCTCAAACTTTTTCGATAGACTGTGGAAGGTGTCAAAAATTGATATTGAAAAAATTATAAATAGAATTTATACTTTGCAGCTTTAATAACAGACCATAAAAACAAAAATAAATACATATAGCATAAGGGGCATTCCACGTTACTCGGTAATTTTTGTCCCGCCCGTCACAATTGAAAATTGTGAGTAAAAACCACAAGTTATAAAATTAATATTTTATAATATTATTTTTATTGTGCTTATAACTTATTAAAAGCATAATAAATCAATATTTTTAAATAAATTTTATAACATGTAGTTTTTACTCACAATTTTAAATTGTGACGGGCGGGACAAAAATCCCCGAGTAACGTGGAATGACCCATAATTCATATTATAATATATGTAATTCAAAAACAAAACTTTCTTTTAGATCTTTTAAAATTTAACTCAATAGTTATAACAAAACATAGAGCATATTTCTCGTAAATAAAAACAAAACAAAATACAAAAATAAGTCAAATATCCATTTTAAACTTTTTCTCTTAAAATTTGTAGACGTCTATTGGTCGTCCACTTCATGGTTGGTTCCTTCAGTTAATTTTTGTTTTTTGTTTTTCAGAATCTTGATTTCCCTCAATAAACAATTTTTCACAATTACAAGAAAGACTTGTAATGTTACTTTGACTTTTGTCAAAGATAAACTGACAGTTACAAGATTAGGTAGTTTACATTAAAATTGCCCAAGCATTTCCTTTATATTAAATCATAATGTAGATTGTGTAGGAATTAAGTAAATATTATTTTCTTTTATGTTATTATTATTTTAAATATTAGTATTATTTACAGATAACTCCCTGACTTTTCGTTTTTTCTTTAAATTCCCTGACTTTTCTATGACTTTTTAGACTCATTTTATATTCCCTGACTTTTCCCGGATTTCCCGGTTTTCCAGGTCGCTACGAACCCTGTTATATATATTCTGTTTTTACTTTGTACCTGGATTTGTTTTAGGTACTTTTAGGTACTAAAACTCGTATAAGTTATAAGTATATTTTATAAATATAATTTACATTGTAATTAGCAACAATTTGTAAATGGTCCACACAAGTCCATAGGGTTTAGGGACTGTTCTGTAGTTGACAATTGTTATTTTAAATAAACATATTATTATTAGTATTATTATTATTACTATTATTAATAGGAAGATCCTCCATAACAGTTTTCCATTTTTTCTTTAGTCCCTTGTAAAAAAGACCATATTTCATTATTAATCAATTGTTTAATTAAATCTTTATCCATATTTTGTAGAAAATTGAATGCTATACAAAAAAGGACTGATATGTTTAAGAAATTACTCTAACCATTTAAAAGATATTCAAGATCAAAGTTTGAAGAATTAATTAATTTAATAATTTTGTAACTCATTGAAAAATAATTATTTTATGACATATTTTTGTACAAAATTTAACGCTTTACAAAAAAGGTTTGATGTGTTCAATTGATTACTCTAACCGTTGAGAAGATATTCGTATCCGAATCCCAATGCATGTACTATAGTATTAAACACTTCAGACCTTTTTTGTAGAGCATGCAATTTCCTACAAAAATATGTATAAAGATTTGATTAAAAATTGAATTAAAATGAAATATGGTCTTTTTCGTAAGGGACTAAAACTGTAATGAGGAGGATCTTCCTAGTAATATTGAGCTCACATTTGTTGAGCACTTTCTAGAGGTGCCTAAGAACCAATTTTTCAGTGTCAAAAGTAAAAAAAAATATTCGCATTCTTGAAAGCTTGCATTAGGGGTGTGACAATATTTATCATATTTAAAACAACATATCTCATCATATTTTTCAAAAAATCTTACCTTCGCTAGCTGGTGTATCTTTTCGGGGGCGTGCTGTTTTCGCAGGCCCTCGCACGCGAACCAGAAGTCCAAGGGATCTGCGAATTGCGGGCCTTCCGAGACCAGGTAGGTGCGGAACAGGGCGGCGCCGTCCGAATCGGCCAGCAGCCCGTGCAGCGAGTGGTTCCATCGGAACCAGGCGGGCGGCGACGGCGACGAAGACGAACGAGACGCGCTTCGGCAGCTGCCCTCCGGCTCGTAGCCCATCGGAGCCGAAGACAAGGGATCTTGTTTGGAAACATATTCATTTTAGTAAAATGCGGTTTGAAATAGGTGAAGTGGGAGTTATTTGCTTTTTCTCTAGAAATAATGTGAACAAAAATTGTAAGAATCTTTAGTAGAGATATTAAAAAACTCTTTTATCGGATTTGAAAAAAAAACGTAAAAAATGTTTCTTTCGGTTTTTTTTTCAAAACATCTACAACAATTCACCATGAAGAATATTCTGTAAATAATTAGAATTTGGCGTATTTTAAGAAACTACATTCAATAGGAAATTATAAAAAAAGTGAAATTTAAAATATATTTTATTTTCAATACTTGAAATTTTTTAGTGACTAAAAAATTTGATTAATCATTATTTTGTAGTTTTAACATAAGAAATCATTTAGGTATTAAATATTGTAATTAAAATTGTGATATTCACTGCAAATTTCTTAGTATGGGTTACTAAATAATTTTTATAAATTTTCGCATATTTTTGGTTGACTTTTTTTGCATCATTGGATTAATAAAAAAAAATAAGTTTCCAATGGCAAACAACGTAAAAAATAGGTATAAGTCTGATAAAAATCATAAAATCTGAAAAAAAAACAGTGAAAAACTCTGATATGAACAAAAAAATGTTTTTTTACCGCTACATCTTTAAAAATGTCTGCGTTAAGGCTAATAATATTGATATTACAGTGTGTATTAAAACGAATAGATACACTTAAATAAAAAAATAAAACAAGTGCCAAACCCCGCCCACTGTGGTAGGGCTGTTTAACGTGCGCAGGAATTTTTATGATAGGCTAGGGTTAACTGCTGCTGGTGGTCTATTTGAACATTTAATTTAGAAAAAAAAATATTTTCGTTATTTTAGACTTATTTTTGTTTGAGAATTTATAAGTTTTATTTTTATCGAATTCGTTTGTTTTGTTTTAATGCATTTCTGCAAATAAACACTAAGTATTGTTTAAAATCCATTAAATTCCAGTTAATGGCGAAAATGTATTTCTTAAAAACTATACATATTTCCCTACGACAGCGTCGGAGCTACTGAACAAAACTGCATGCCCTTGTATCTGGCTGCATGCCGCGCTGTTGCCATATGCTATTATTGTTTCCTAAAAGGGTTGTTTTTCTTATTTTTTAATATTAAGTAAGAAAATTAACTAAATCAAATTATTTTTGACATATTATTAATTTTTTTGTTATTTTTAAAGTTTCAAACAAATAAAATTGTACTATTTATTAAATAATTATAATCGTTCTCTTCTGATTTAAAACAACCTGGCAACTATGGTTCGTAATTACGAATGGCTTGGTTTAAACCACGCCCAATTAAAGTTTGTTTCTTTTTCTCTGATCAGAATATAATTTGTCATCCTTGTCTCCAGCCTTACTCACTTGATTCTATAGAGTCTGTATATTATTTTATCTATTTTGCGTTCATAATGACTTCATTATTACACCGCTTTCGATGATGCAATGAGATACTTTATCCCACCCAAAATTTTGATTTTATAGGTTGGTTATACTTTAAACAGCATAATATTTTGCATATTGGTTATAATATTTTTATGATTTTTCTAGTACTTACGAGACTTTTCTGGCAATAAATTTTGTTTAACACCAAAGAAAATCCTTTTTTCTTCTTTAATATTATAATATTGTAAATAAGTAAATTAAGGACGGCATGGCGAATCGATTTTGACATTAACTGTCAAACCAACTATCTAAAGTAAAATTCGACCAAATTAAATTTAAGGTATAAAATTAATTTTTTTGTATAGAATAGATTAAATAACATAAAGAACTCATGTCATAAGACCTTTTGTCGCAATCGTCCATTACAAAATTGTCCGCGTGCGACAAAATGACGTCTTATGACATTAGTTCTTTAATATACTATTAAAATATAAACATACATTATACATTTGTCAAATCTTTATTTATGAAATTATATTACAAATTTCTTGCCAAATGTATAAAAATAAAAACAATATTTTGTACAAATTAGAGTATCTTTATTTACACAAAAAAACATTTTTATTTGTACATGGTAGAAATTATACAGGAGTGTATTAAGGTAATTTCCTTAGGAATTTACTGTATTATTTATAGTGATTTTAAAATTTAAAATATCCAGGAGAAATAAAGCAGATAAGTGTGTAAAAAAGATACCTACTGTTACAAAGAACAACATCCTTAGTAAAACTAGTTATTTTAAATAATAATAAAAAAGTCATTACCTATTAGGAATTAATTATATTTTTAAATGTAGAAGGTCGGCGTGTTTGTAATAATATTTATGTATATTTTTCACTAGTACCAATGTTCTTTTAAGGAAGTTGATTAATAAATATGGTAAGTGTGTTTTTGTATAAAATGTTATAGTAAGTAAGTACGAGGGTTGCCTTTTATATTTCGGGAATAGAGAAAACAAACAACAATTAATCATCGTACATGGCTTTATTGTTTTTCAAAATATTCTCCATGAAGATTGACACACTTTTGCATACACTTGAACCAATTTTCGAAGCATTTTTTTCACTTCGATTGAGGCACCTCCAAAACATGCATTTTGAATGCATCAACCGCTTCTAAAGACCCACACAGTCGACTGCTGTTTACTTTCAGGTTCATACGCATAGATCCATGATTCGTCACCTGTTACAATGTCATGAACATGTTTTGAAGCACCGCCATCGTATTTTTTAAGCATTTCTTTTGACCACTAGACCTGAGCCCTTTTTTGATCGATTGTCAAATTATGTGGGATCCAACGGTAACAATTTTTTCTGAAGGCCAAATGTTCATTTAATATTGAATGTATGCTGGTCCCACTAATGCCCAAGGATGACCCAATCTCACGATATGTCACATGAAGATCTTGCATTACCAGTTCACGCACAGCATCAATGTTTTTTGCAAGAACGAGTGATTTTGGACGACTTTCACGAAATTCGTCGGTGAGCGAACCACGGCCACGATTAAATTCGGAACACCACCAATATTTACTTGTTTTTTATGGCACTTTGTCGCCAAAAGTCAAATTAAGTTCATCGATGCATTATTGTTGTGATAATCCACGTTAAAGTTGTAAAAATTATAGCACGAAAATGTTCACGGGTCAATTCCATTTTTTTGGCCGACATTAATTTTTCAAGTGACTGTTAATAATACTAATTGCGCCCGCACGTCAAAACGTTTTAAGTAAGAACACCGTCTAAAAGGTCGAACTTAACGATACAGACATCTGTTGTCCGATAGCATCAGCAGGTTCGGCCATTCCCGAAATATAAAAGGCAACCCTCGTAGATACAGATACAGTTACCTTAAAAAAGTTTATGGATGGAAATTATTTTTTGCTTTTACTTCCATCCAAAATTCTAAAATGGAAATAAAAGAGCGTTTAAAAGAACCCAACAAAATAGATGGGACCATTCAACATGTTTAGTAGATTTATTCACTCAGCAAAAGTAGATGTTGGGTGCGTCCAGAAATTGAAAATTGCGAGCCGCGGACGTGTTTTCCGTGTTCCAATAAACACTAGCCAAAGTGTAGGTTTTAAATTAAAAAATGTATCTTAACATGCCTTGTTACTCAAAATTCTTAACTAGTTACAGTTACCAAATTGGGATAATAGTATCTAGATAATGTTTCTAGTTTCTTGTAACTAGATAAGCTAGAACACGGTGGTAATTAAAATTAGCAGTAAACTCTAATTTTAAGAATATATAGATTGTTTACCGTTGCCAAAGCTGGAGAATCGCCTGGGCGTGGGCGACATGGCCCTCTTCTCCATCACGTACTGCGGAAGACTCTGCCGGGTCTCCTTGCCCGGAACGGGGGGCCTAGGAGCCGTAAAATCGAACCCGGCGTCATTGGCGTACGACAAGGACGAGTTTACAGCCAGGCCCTGCTGCGGTTGTTGTGGGTTCATGATGTCTGCGTGGGGCTCCAACTTTTAGGCCCCTCTTTCCTTCCTATCGATTTTTTGCTTCTGCTTTCGAACTTAAGCTGAGCTGAGCTGAGCCGACTCATCGTGAAAACTGAAACAGAAATAGGAATTTAGAAGAAACAAAAAAATTTGTTGATAATATGCAATAAAAGAGCCCCAAAATAGAACCCTTAGGGACACACTGAAAAAAGTAAAATTAGATGTATTTTTCAGGGAAAATGCGTTGTGAAGTAAAATAAATTTAGATTTTGGTTAACGTTTTAGAAAATATTTCAACATTTATGGAACTTGGTCTTTAGCTAAGCACACAGTATACTTCTAGGCAGAGGCGTAGCGAAGTTTTAGATTAAGGGGGTGATTTTCATTAAAATGTCGAATTTATCGGTGATTTTGCCGACTTTTAAATCTTAAAATACGTTAGATTGGTTGCATAATTTTGTAAAATGAAAATCTGATATTTATCCTATAACATTTTTAAAAGAAACACGAATTTGCGACAAAATAAATTTTTCTGAAGATCAGTGGCGTAGCTACATTTTTCGCCCGAGGCAAAGAAAAATACATTATAAAAATGAATAGTTAAATAGTAAAATTTCTTTTGTTAAATTAAGAAGCAGCGTTTCTAAAAAGTCCCTAAAAATTGTCTATTTATTGTTTAAAATTACTACAACAAAATCTTTCAATTATTCCCGATTTTCCATCAATGAAACTTTTGAATATGCCGACGGTTCCCATTCATTGAAAATATAGAAATAAATTATCGGAACCTCGAAAAATGACCCTGCTTTAAGAATTTATGTTTAAAAAATGTGTCACTACAAAATGAAATACTAAATATTAAATTATAAAAAATTTCAAAATATTCATAAAGCCATTGTAAATTTTAATAGATGACAATTTATAAAAACCAGTATTTAAAATTAATTAAATTTCTTCCAAATCAAAAAGGATAAAATAAAAAAAAATATTAATTTAAATCTTCTGCTCTAAAGAATTAGAACCCTCTCAATCAGCATCCCTAAAATTTAATCGATGCAAGCTGCCATTGAACAAAAATCCTCCGGGGTGTGGTGCTACGATCAATACTGAACCCAGCCAAATCACAAAGGCCCTTGCTATTTCAATTTTTTTTTCATAACATAATAAAGAGCATAACATACTTATAACCATAACAAGTTTTATTATTTCATATTTAATAATTCAACAACAATGCAATATGAAATTGCAAGAGCCAGGTAAAAATTACCCTTATTAGGTTTCATGCCCGGCAGGTTTAATGAAGCATAAATTCTGCCTTACAATTCATTATACGGTTATCAAATATAAGTACATTAAAAACCTAATATTAAGTCAAGAACACAAAGAAAAGTCAGTAGTTTATTTCAAACCGTGCCTGAACAAACATTACATGCAACAATTAAAAAACCTACCCCATCGTAATCAGAGGGTCCATACCTCACCGAAATTAAATTAAAACATGATATACTTCACAATGGCTATTATTCTTTAAGAATATTAAGTTATGATGGGCTGTCAGTAAAAATAATACCTAAAAAATGATGACGTACACATTGATAGACAGCCAAATAGAGAATGTAGTTGTAAGAGCGCACAACAGTTAAATGGTCTTCGATCGATGCAAGTGAGTCACTAGGGTAGGGGAAATATTTTTTAGCCCCTTGGAAAAAATTATTTCTATGGATTAAATTTCATATTTCTATTGATTATGATTTTATTGGGGATGCTTCATAACAAATAATAATGCATGTACGATGCTGGATACATACTAGGTGCTCTTAAGTCAATTCTTTAAATCACAGGGGTATAATTTCCTTGAAAGTATTCGTATCACTCATTTTATTACAAGAAAACACTTTTTTACTTGATTTTTACATAAAAAATATAATTTTTGTCCATTTCCTAAAAAAATATGAAAAACGTATTTTTGTTGGATAATTTATAGAATAAATTTATATATACCACTTGTAATAACTTCCAATGCCATTTTTAATAAAAAATACAAAAACAACATTAAACTCTAAAATTTAACCCTAACTTCTAAGAAATGTCATTTTACAGTAGTTATGCAACCAAGATAACGCGCGAGTGAGGGTGTAGTTGTCGTACAGGCGCAAGAATATTTGCGTTATATTATTTTCTTATTATTTTACAAACAGGAAGAAAACACACGAGTGAATAAAATCCTTACGAGCGAATATTAATTTAACGGCCACTACAACTTAATGGTATTTTAAATAAACAAGTGCACGCGGAGATTTATGAAATTCCTTTGATGAGCGCAAGCACCACACTTAACTAAGTTAAATTATAAATATTTATGCGGCCAAGTCGTGTTTGGCAATTAAACATGCTTTTTGAAGGTTTTTTGATGTTTTTTTGTTAAATATGTTAGGTATAAATACTTTTAAAAAGTTATATCAAGCATTGTATTTTAGTATTTAAAATCGTTTATAAGAATAGTGTTTTATGATTTTATAGTGAAAAAAGCACAGCAACTATAAAAACCTCGAAACTCATTTACATCTACCACAATGGGCTTTTAATAAAAATAATGATAATAATAATGGTGCAAAGGATAAAAACAAAATGAAGAAATATGAGGATTTGTTACGGCGGCGTGTCTAAGTGATTCGTCTCGAGAGAAAATAATTACAGCGTTGCTGCCTACCGACATTAAAATTTTAAATTGTCGAAGACGAGGAGAACACGCCGGTCATTTTATGATAATATACCTACCTCCACCTCCTCATCCTATACAACTTGTTTCTCTGAAATAGAGAATAATATTTATTAAGGTGTGGGGCATAGAAGAGAACCTTGCGGCAAATGTTTAATTGCATTGAACTTAAGGATTACTCGGGTAGGGTTAGTTAACCAGTAATTGACCAGTTAAGGAAATTTTCGTGAATAAATTATTATATTTTCCTCTATTTTTAGTTTAAAATAAAATAAAAAATATCATTGAGTTTAATTTTGTTTTAAAATTTGATAACAGCTGACTAAAAAAGAAAAAGAGTTTCTATGCCGACGAAAAAAAATTTAATGCACGAAAATTCATGATTTTCCAGTGGTTGACCAATGCCTTGTAAGCAGATATCATTAATAAAACTGTGCCATCTAGAAGTTAAGGGGTAAAACACTATGCAAATAATATAAGTTTTTAATTAGGTAATACAGGGACCTTGCTTTTATCATTTAATCGGTACATTGGTCAATAACTGGTTGATGGTCAATTACTGGTTAACTGACCCTATATGTTTTTATTTAACATTTTTATATGTTCTTGTTGTTTTGAATAAAAACACAAAGGACTGGTACTTAACTTTTTTTACATGTTTAGTGAGAAAACTAAATATCTTAAGAACGCCAAAAACAAAATATAATATGGCGTTATTTTATAAATATGAAGTTCTGTTAGAATACACACTATGGGAAGTTCCCATTGGGAACATTTTTTTGGGTTTTAATGTTATAAAATAACAAAGGATTGAATCGATAAAATTGGTGGTATGTGTGAAACAAATTCAATAAATAAACTAATTAATCCTAAATATAAAGGATTTGATGTTAAACATTTTTCTATTTTACAAAAAATACACATGTAACTATTGGGGTCCAAAATAGACCCGTGAGGTACTTATGTAATTTCATAAAATTTCTAGTTTGGGTGTCGTATTAAAATCTACTACAATGTCTTTTCTGCGTTCTAAAGTAAGATCTTTATAATATAAAGTTTATATACAAAAAAATACATAAACAATAAAAATTGTTATAACATGGAAATTAAGATTGTAAGAATTAGTATATTATTATCGATGTGGCTCCCGTCCCGAGGCGGGACTTAAGTTCAGTCCCGATTGACGTCACACACTGTAAATCCGTTTTTATTCCCCGAGATTTTATAATTTGCGTCAAGCTCGATGGCTTAGATGGTAGGGCGGTCGCTTGGCATGCGAGAGGTACCGGGTTCGATCCCACTAGAAGTTGTCAAACTTTTTTATTTTTTTTATTTTATAAATTTGTTGTTTCTTTGTTAAAAAGTGTTTTATTTTTATCGTAACATAAATTTGCCCATTTTAGTTGGGTTTTTTGCTCAATGGGGCGGGGGGGGGGGCCCAATGGGGCGGGGTCGGTTGGGTTGTGTTGTTGAGTTTGGGTTGGTTTGGTTTTATGACGTAACTAAAGTGCCCTTAACATATATACAGGTACAATTTATTATTATTATTTTAACAAATCTTAAAATTATGACGTCATTTGGGACTGAACTTAGTCCCGCCTCGGGACGGGAGCCACAGCGTATTATTATATGAGAGATAATGCGCCTAATCTCGAGTGTAATACTATACTTTATCCAATAAGTGATAATTAAATGATTTTCAAAAATAAATAATCTGACATCTGTCAAATGGTTAACCTTATTTTTTACCAATTTTAAATGTTATTAGTCTTGGAGTTCGATTTTGTTGGTGCTAGGGTACGGACCGCTCAATGAAAAGTGTGAAATAGATAGTAGATGACTCTTCGAGCTAGGAGGAACAAAATTGGATTCCCGGAATAGAAATATTCCTGTGTCTTGATAATATTCCTCGATTGGTCCTTGTACACGGGATAAGAGGAATTTATATAAATTTATAAATTTTAAGGTTACATAACCTATTTGTGTCCACGTGTTTGTTAGACAATAGTTGTCCAATGGTTTTTGGTTCTTCTGAAATCATTGGACGTTAAATACTAGTAGCTGGTTAATACGGACTATGTCCAGGACCATAAGGGCGGTGGTTAAGCCATAAATCCGCCCTAGTTGAAGAAGAATAAGTTATTAGTCTTCTTCCAATTTAAGACCCGATGGATCCAAATCACAGTGAATATTGAAATCGGCCAATCAATGATGCCTAACAACGTGAATAATGAGTTCATTATTCCCGTTGTTAGGCAGGGAATTTATAATGTTAATCAATATTTAAGAAAAAAACCCAACATTATGCAATAGGAGCAGAAAATATTATATTTTTTTAACAAGTTTTATAAATGCCATTTTAGTTACGAGATTTATTAGGCACGAGCAAAGCT